AAACCCCTCTGTTTCAGCCCTGTTTCAAAAGTGCTGTTTCTTTGTCTGTAGCTTTAAATGCTAATGAGCTGCTGCTGGCCACACCCCTCTGCGAGATGATTACTTTAACCAGTTAAGACCGGGGGCATGACGCAACATCTTGCAAGAAACAGCGTCTGAGGGCTTCTTAACATTTAATAAACTATGAATGTGTCATACTCACTTAACGGGAAGAAACTCAGCTTTCAGACAATATTAACCATTTTTAGCTAAACGAAACAAAAGGGTAATAACAAAGGCTCTGAATTAGCCCTGAGCGAACACAAAACTATTTTCTGAATGGAATCGGATCGATCAGGATAAACCAACCTGTAGCTGCTCCGTCCAAACTCACAACAACGGTATACAGACATAAATAAAGCAGCGACTGTATTCACCATGACATAGACAGTCTTTGGTTTGTTCATGTTTAACTTTTGTCCAGTTTCTGAACAAATATGAGGAGCTGTGAGCTCTGTGTGCAAACAGCTAACGGCTGATGTTTCGGGACATTTTGCGCTGTCGGGTGCTGACCAGTGCTGGAATTGGGCCGGTACTCACCGGTACGCAGTACCGGCACTTCTGGTTCTGACCCATGGAGTACCGGCACTTCTTGCTCAGTACCGGCATGCTGGCGGTACTCCGGTACTCATGCACCGTGCCAGTACTCAACACTCTCCCGCCGTTCTTATTATACATCCATATATATATATATACAGCCGCCCGGTACTCAGTAGATGCGTCATGAGGTGCCGAACGGACATTCTCATCGCTCTAACCGCTGGAGTTTCACAGCGGCTGTCAGCTGTTTACTCCTGTCATTCAAACAGAACGTGCTGGAGAGGGGGCGGGGGCTTATCTTCTCCATGTAAATACTGTGGTGGAAACGACTATGTCAAAATTAACCTATTTGACCGTGATTTAATAGTAATACACGTTTCAAAATAATAATAATAATAATGCCGAAGTAACAACATACTGAAAAACTGTTAGTAAAACCATGTTTTAATGCTTTACAATTTACATACCTAGATGCACGTGTGTTGTGTTTATGCAGTGCAACTCCCACCCAGTGGGTGGCTATGTAGAGTGATAGAACAGAGCAGGCACGCCCCCGAGAGAAGGAAAGCAAGTTACGTCACAAATTAGCATTTCTAAAATGTTAGCGTGGATTAATAAAAGTGCAAAAAGACAGCGGTTGTCGCCGGAAGAAACTTCAAATACAGAGAATGCTGTGCCTGTGTTGGAAATTGTGTCTGATGGGGAGCTTTCTTTGGTTGATCCTCCTGCTCCAAGTTCTAGTGCATTAGCATTAGCACTAGCTCCGCCGCCTCCTCCAGAGCCTCTAACGTTAGCTGCTGCTGGCGCAACTGCCACCAACAACACCGGGTAAAGCGATGCACCTGACTGCTGGACAACGGACCAGGTGCAATATTTTTGCAAGACCAATGCATGGCTCCTTCTTAAAGATAAGAAGCTAGGATGTCGGATATGCAGAGATGTCAAATCTTTGGGAATACACACTGGACAAGGACTGAAACTGTCAACTGAATGGGGTGAGTGTGCAGTGTCTCATTTCGGTGTTGACAAGGGCAAACAACAAGCTAGCCTGAGAAAAAAAATCAAAGAACATAAAGAATCACAAGCCCATGTAAAAGCTGCTGACATCCTTACATCTGCTTCACGTGAAACTATTCAACATCAAGTGCAGTCTATGCATACATCTGAATTAGACACCACTATCAGAGTTTTTCGAACGGCATATCAAATTGGCAAACATAGCCGGCCATTCACAGACATGCCAATTGATTTGAATGTACAGAAACTGAATGGGCTGAACGTGGGCAGGGTTTTGCACTCCAATAAAACCTGTGGCGAAATCATCGACCACATAGCTCATGAGCTGAAGAAAAAAATGGCAAAAGACATTACAGAAAACCAAAGAAAACTCTGTGTTTTGGTCGATGAATCTACCACTATTAGTGGTAAAACGGTGCTTGTTGTGTGTCTACGCTCAGCATTAGCTGATGCTGAGCCCGAAACGTTTTTTTGGGAGCTGATCGAGTTGGATGGAACAACGGCTGATGACATCACAAAGGCGTTAATGGAGTGTCTTGGAAGAGATTTTAACGAGGACTTTTTAGGTCAGTGTTTCGTTTCTTTTGCATGTGATGGGGCTTCAGTCATGCTAGGGAAGAGAACAGGCGTTGCTACCCAGTTGTATAGTAAATTCCCAAGCCTGTTTGTGTGGCACTGCTCCAATCATCGTCTAGAGCTGGCAGTTGGGGATGTGGTCAAGGAGGTCTCAGGGCTCAATCATTTCCAGATCTTTTTTGACAAACTCTATTCCTTGTTCCATGCCTCCCCCAAAAATCAGAGGCAGTTAGCGCAGTGTGCGCAAGCAGTCGGACAGCGTCTCCTGGTGATATGGCGTGTTTTGTCCATCCGCTGGGTGGCTTCAAGTGAAAGGAGCGTCAGAGCAGTCTGGGAAAACTACCGAGTGCTTCATGATCACTTCACAAATGCTGCAAACGACACGAGCAGGGATTCCAGAGACAGAGAAAAGTACAAGGGCCTGGATGATGTGCTCACATCTGCAACGTTTGTCAGCAATCTGGGACTGATGTACGATGCGCTCACAGAGCTCAGCGACCTCTCTCGGCAACTCCAAAAAAGAGAGATGACACTGCCTACAGCAGATAGGCTCTTAACTCGAGAAATACGGGTTTTTGAATCCATGGTCACCATGCCTGGCCCACACATGACTACAGTTCATACAGCTCTAGCTGAGAAGTCCTTCAAGGGTGTTGCCCTGCGTGAGAATGGCAGGCTTGTACAGATTCATGCAGGTCAGTTTTTCCGCAGTATGGTAGAGAATCTGAGACACAGAATGACTTCCACAACCTCCTCTCATGTCAGCACAAGAGAAATCCCATTACATGGCCGGGAGGCCCGGGACAATCAGCTAATCCAGGACATGAAAGTTATCCATCCTGGAAGTTGGCCTGAAGAGGAGTTAGACGTACAGTATGGGGACGTAGAGGTGCTACGTTTGTGCGAAGTGCTGAAAGTGGACAGAAGAGAGACTGTTCAGGGCTTTCGCGAATACAAGGAAACCAGGGCATCCCGTACACCTGCTGCCATGGAGCCTCTACTGAAAGCAGTCCGAACCATCGCTGTCTCCACTAGTGAGTGTGAGCGGGCATTCAGCTGCACTGAACGATATCCTTACTGCAAAAAGGAATGCTCTCTCTGTCAGCCGACTGTCCAGCCTGGTTTTCATTAAATGTAATGGACCATCACTAGGACAGTTCAATCCGGAACAGTATGTGAGGTCCTGGCTGGCAAAGGGAAGGAGAAGTGCTGATGAAAGAGCCTGTCCAGCTCCAGCCCCTGATACTGATGTCCCCAAGGCCTTCTGGAGCCTTTTCTAACAATGTGAAGTATATTGCAAAGCAGCTCACCCAGTGAGAAGACTTTTGGCATAATGTGCCGATTTGTACAGATCCTGGAGATAGAAGGACTTCAGACCAACCAGGGAGTTATCTGATCCGCTTGGTGTTCAATGTAACTCTTTACCATGGCTCAGACTTTGTTACTTGCAGTTACAGTTTCTCATTTTAGATTGTGCACATTTTGCATTTGTTTTTACATGTTCTTTGTTCATGCTCTTTATCATTTTTCTGAGTTGGAAAGTTAGATTGCATTCAAAATGTACAGAAATACTTAATTTTGTTAAAGCTTTTTATAAAAAATGCTTCTGACCAGAGCTTTGTTTCCTTGTCATTAATGTTGAACACCACCAGAGGGGCTCTCACCTGAAAGGTCTCTGCTTCATGTGTCTTCAGCAGAAGATCTAGACTTTGATTGCTATATTTTCAGTTAATATTGACCTTACTGAGCTTTAGCCATATCCGCTGCCTATCATAAAAAAATGTAAGTACAGTGAACCTTTCTAAAATATACAGTAGTAAAGAGACAAACCCACCAGCATTATAGTAGCCAAATTCTTGTTTGTGGGCTGTATATATAAAATTGACTTGAAAAAGTTGCTGATTTTAGAGTACTGGCACCTTTTTCATTCCAATTCAAGCACTGGTGCTGACCAATCACGAAGTGTCATTTCTTGACTGGCAGCAAAAACAACCAATCACAGCAGTGCTTCTCTGGCTGGCTCTGTCCAATCACAAACAAGAAGTGTTCTCCTAAAGGAATACCCTTTCCGTATAAGTTGAGATGCTGTGGCGTTTCCTGAAATGCTGTGGCGTTTTCCCAAATGCTGTGAAGTTTCCTGAAATGATGTTTTGAATTGCACTTCAGGGCCACCGTATGTTATAATCCATAATGAAAATAATCATTATTTAGTCGTTAAAAAACAACAACAAAAGTAAACCCCTGATCTTACATTAATAATAGTTCAATGACATAATGACATTCACTGGGGACATGTTTCTAAAAAAGTGTAACTTTCTTTTCATGATTATACGTAAATACTTGTACTGTCTTTACAAAAATTGTAATGCTACACTTTTTTGTGTTGTAGGCTACTTCTGAATTGTGGTACTACAACAGTACTTTTACTTAAAGGTAGGGTAGGTAAGAAATAAGAATGGAGAAACCAGCTCGAGTGCGCTAGGATTTGAAAGTACGCAGCCGAAAAAAATCTGCCCCTTCCTTCAGACTTCCTTACAGAGCCCCTCCTTCAACACACACGAACGCGCACATGACCGGGCACAAGATACATTTGTGCACGAGATGGAAGGCTGACAGGCAGGTAAAATAATTGGAAATTGGTCGTGCTTTTTACAGCGCTACGGCTTCCACAGATGAATTTTATGTATTTATTGTCAAAGCATTTAATGTATTCATTGCTATCGGGATTTTAAGAGCATTCCATGGAATATAACAAAAAGTGTTTCTGAATACGTCATCCATCACTGTTGATTGTTGATAAACTAGTGCAACGTCACTTCTCAGCGACAGACCGTTCTCGCACATGCGCATTAGCATTGAGCTTTGTTATTTCATTTCACTATGGCGCTTAGCAAAACGTTTGGACAAAAACCTGTTAAATTTCAGCTCGAGGAGGATGGAGACTTTTATATGATCGGATCGGAGGTTATAATTCTACTTATTTATTCAACCATAGCCTCAATTATTTACTTATTTGTCAGAAAAGTGTTAAACCTGACAGCCGGTCCATTAGCAGCTAGGTAGCAGCTAACGATGAAGGACGGCGCATCAACACTCATTCATTTATTTCATGCTTCTTGTTAATTTAGCTGAGAACAGCCATGAAGATAAAATACAATAATTAATATGATGTTCCAACAGTACGAAGTCTTTTCCAGAGGTTCAACCTGGTTTCTCTGGCTGAGCTATCCAACGTTATACAATCATGCTATGCTGCTATGCTAGCTAGCTAAAGGTGTTTATCCAACAAAAGCTTGTATAGGACAGTCTAACAAACACCGCAATGGGGGTGTTGGACTCATTCTTTATTAATGTTATCATTTATTTATTATCATTACTATATGGTTGTTTGTTACGGTACTATGGTTCCTCTCACAGTGTACGTGTTAGCTGTAACGTTAGTTCTCGGACGTAAATACTGATCTTAATTCCAATACAGATTTATAGTAGTTGAATGTTTTTTGTTTTTTTAAACCTCTTAGACTAGATTTAACATAATACAAATAAACTGAAAACATGGCTCTATTCAGGAGAAAGTCATGATAGTTATCATTCGCCATCATTTTTTTGAATAATCAACTATTTGTTTGGAATAATGTAGTAATAAGAATAATGAATATGAAATATAAGAAAAAAACTGAAATCTGACTTGACATGGTTATCCCGTAGCTAAACTCCAAAATACATACATAGAGGAAAACACATACAAATAAAGGGCAACCAGCAAACAAAAGGGTTGTAAGAATCCCCAAGATTCTTTGGTCGGTGGTCTGCCTTCGTGTTTCTTGATTCTGTTTTTTTCCTGTGTGTGTTCAGGTGGGAAACTACCTCCGCATGTTCAGAGGCTCCCTGTATAAAAGATACCCGTCATTATGGAGAAAACTGGCATCGGTAGAAGAGAGGAAGAAGATAGTGGAGTCATCACACGGTCAGTAGAGTGCAGCCCTGAGACTATATTCACAATATATACTCCTAATATGTTGTGATTCATCTAATATTAAAACCCGTACCACTAAGAAATGTTGTACTACAGACTACTTTGGAATTTTTTAATAAATAGAACAAATTAGGAAATGTGTTTTGCCTTCAAAAAAGGTCAGAACATATGGAATAGTCCATCCCAGTTTCTTAAAGTCCAAGGTTATATCCTTAAATGTCTTGTTTTACAATTTCAAAACCCAAAGATGTTTTCCTTACTAAAAGATTGATGGTTTGGGATTTTAAAATAATGTAATTGCCACTAACTGATTCGCTGTAATGTTTAAAAGTATTATTGACACTAAGAGGTATTGTTTAAATAAATAAAAAGGAATCTTGAGAAAATTAAAGGATTTGATTGCTTTTTTTTCTTTGCTTTTTTAAATGTATCTCATTCTATTATTTAAGTTTTTATTTGTTTTTTTGTTGTGATTTACCTCAACTTGATGTAAAAACATGAGTTTGTGATCTGAGCATATCTGTAAATGAACTCAGTCAATAAGGATTACAACAATGAGAACTGTATCTCCACAAATAGAATTAAAAACAAAGAAACATCTTAAACTACAGAAAAACAAATTGTTCACACGTTTAAATATGTTTTGTTCATCTCTTTCTGAACAACATCCTTATACATTTATGTTTAAAAGGATAAGAAAATGGCATTTCTTTAGCTTTTGAGTTACACATCGCCTCATTTCATAATTAGGGTTAACAGAATTGTTCACAATAATGAGTCGAACATTACCAGGTTCAGCTGCTCTTGTTTCTGTCGTTGATTTGATCCGATCCGTTTCTGTCCTTCAGATCACGGCTACACTCAGCTGGCCACCAGTGTGACCCTGCTGAAGGCTTCCGAGGTGGAGGAGATCCTGGAAGGAAACGATGAGAAGTACAAAGCTATCTCCATCAGCACTGAGCCCCCCGCCTACCTCAGGTACCCCCGCCATCTGAGAACACAAATGATAGATATGGGAATGCCTCTCTATTTAGATGCTTGCCTCACAATCAAAAGGTTCCCTATGTTTCCATTTTGCTTTTCAAGAAAAATACTACCGTAGTTCTTTTTGTGAGTTGCAGGCTTAACCTAGTCAAGAAACTTCATCTGAGCCGTGGACAAATAAGACTGGTTATGACTTATTATTACCTTTTACTTTTGGTGCTCTTTGTAGGTCTTTGGTGCTAATGCAAGACTTAAACAGTATTTATACACTGTGCTATTATTACTCCTTCCAGGGTTACATTTAGATATACTTTTATTGATCCCAGTTTGGACAATTATTTTGTCATAGCAGCATGTAGACAAGCATTGCACATGAATTTCAAATGAAATAAAATACAAAATAAACTTTAACAGCAAATGTATGTCTATATAAACAGGACAAACAAAACAAAACAGAACATATGTACATCTCAACAGTGAAATATGTATACCTCGAGCAGTGTTTCTCAAACTTTTTCATACCAAGGACCACTTAACCAATAAAAGAACACTCGTGGACCACCTAACTCCACAAATATCTAAAAACACATAGTTTTTATAGAACAGATTACAAATCGCCTGAAAATGGTACAAACAAGTGACAACATGTTTGATGAAGGTGTTGTGCTGGGCTATATCATGCTCGCTCCATTGCTGAGATATTCCCGCGAGAGTGCGGAAAACTGAAATGTACTTATTTATTTCAAATGTGAAATTTTACCAATATACTCACAGACCACTAGGGGGCGCTCACGGACCACACTTTGAGAAGCACTGACCGAGAGTATCTTATTTTTTCCTTTTTTAATGAATGATTATTGATTAATTTGTCAACTGACAGGTTAACAAGTATATTTACTAAAGTACTGTACTTAATTACACATTTAAGGTACTTATCCATGACTTTTGTTCGTTTTTGTGCCACTTCCTACCTATACACCAGATTTCAGCGAAAAATATTTTTGCTCCACTACATTTATTTGATACCTATAGTTAGGATATTGCACACAGAACATTTTTACGTTTTTAAAATATAATGTTTTGTAAGAAATAAAATGATGACCCTACAGCAGGGCTATTCAATTACACATTCAGTTGGGCCAGATTTTATAACTACAAAATTCAGCTGGGCCAGACATTCAGCGGCCTGTAAAAAGCAGGTAATGACACATTTTAAACCAACACATATTACTGCGATGAAAAACATGCCATTTTTATTCATTGTTCATCTAACAAAGGCACGTCAAAAAGTGCATAAAAACACAACAAATTAGCATTCATTTAACAGAATCTGAAAAAAAGTGCAGTTGTAGCATTACATTTGTTTGCTTTAGAAGTCAAATATTCATGTTTTTTTGTTGAACCAGGCACATCACAAAGTGCATTTAACTGAATACAATAATAGCAGTCTTAATAAATGTCCTCACATACAAAAATAAAATTGGATACATAATGACACATGCAAACAGTTAAAGAGCTCCAATGTAACAAAAAGAGGTAGTAGGCTACCTATACTATTTTAGGTATTTTTTCACTTTTCAAGTAATAACAAAAAAATCATACGTTTTGGTCACATTTGACCCAGACACATTACAAAGTGCATTTAAATTAATACAGAAATAACTGTCAAACCCTTCAGTGCACAAACCCATAACAAGGGATAATGGTAACTAACATATGAATGAATACTACACTACACGTCTACTATAGCAAACTAGGTGCTTACTATCACCTCATTTGTGATTTATCATCGCTGACTTTCTCAATGTGATATTTTTTGTTTTGAACAAGAGCAGTGATTTTTGGCTCATAGGATGTCAATGCAATCCTAAGACATTGGTGAAGACTGCTGTCAGTCAGGGAGCAGCGAGTGCTACTTTTGATTGAGTTCATGTGAAAAGCTTGATTCACATTTGTATGTTGATCCAAACATACTGAGCACACAGATCGCTACTTTCTGAACGTTAGGGAACTGCTGTTTTTTGACATCACTCCAAAACTTCGCTGGCCCGTTAGTGCGCTGCTCTTGTGCCATGGTTACGGATAAATGCATGTCAATAAGTTCCAGTGTAAGTGTCCCCTCGTCGGTGGAGGGGACCACTTCCTTTGCTCTGGTTGATACGTCCCCGTCTATTGCAACAGTGAAGGGGTCTCTGGCATCACCTCTGTGGGCAGAGCAAGTCCATCCAATCGACCGGCAAAGTTCTCTTTCAACCTCGCAATGAAATCTGTCATCACATCCGTGATTTGTGCCGGGGATGTGATGTGTTTGAGGAGCGTCGGAAAATGCAGCTTCTGACCCGTACTCAAGTCGGTCGCGAAAAGGTCCAGCGGCAGCTTGACTTGGAATGCGCGCATCTGCTCCACAAGATCAATGACCGGGTTGTCTCTGTTTACGCTTCAGAGTTGAGAGAGACATGTTTTAGAGTTGCTATCATAGGACCACCGTTACTAGCACCACTAGATGCACTTTCAAAAAACGTGCTGCGTTGTGGTTTAGTGGTTTCTATGCAACGCGGAGTGTTGCGTTCATGGTCTGTACTAGTGTAGGAATTTGGCTACAGGAGGCTAGCTGGGCCACTCGGGAGTTGGTTCTGGGCCGCATCTGGCCCGCGGGCCGCCATTTGAATAGGCCTGCCCTACAGTATGTACAGGTACAGCTTAATCAATGTATTAACTGGTTGTTTGAAATACATATTGATGATCACAATAATGATGATGATGAAGAGAAATTGGACAAATAAGGCAAATCCACCCTGAACCAACAATCATAAATGTGTTATAGAATGCATATAAAGGCACAAAACTGATTAAAGGAGAGGGGCAGTAACTGACAACTAGTAGGGGGTTGTTGTTTTGGGGGACAGGGATCTTGAGAGTGTAGTAGGAAGCAATGGCTGCTGAAGAGAATAAAACAACTGGAAACAAATCCCAAAAGAATCCGTTTTTCAACTCGATATGAAAATGATTACTCAACGTCTGAAATCTAAAATTGATAACGGAAGAAGAATTACACAGGTAGCTTGTATCAAGAGGTCAGTCTGCACATTTTTGAGGCGACCTATTTGGAAATGAGAGATAAGTACTTTTACGTCGAATGTCTTTTAGCTGATGCTTTTTGGGTTTATGAAAGCGCCCTGATTAAAGCGGCATTCATAAAAGCATACTTGTAATAATTAAGGATGTTTCAGTTTGCATAATTATCTTCATGGTGGAAGAACATATTGGCTGTGTTAATAGAAAGAAAGAAAAAAGCACGTTTTCAAACATGTCCATCAGTAGTAGGTCCACAGTAAATGGGTTTAACATGTGGTTATGTATGTATTTATATATTATAAGATAAGATTGACCTTTATTGATCCCTGTAGGGAAATGTGGGTGTCATAGCAGCAACAGAATAAGACAGGAAAACACATAGTACACATGCGATAATAAGAAAAACAAAACAAGTTAAAATAGGAATGAACATAATAGTATAAATCAAAATTAAGAAAAATCACATGAGTTAAACTCTGAATTTTAACAGGTGAATGTTCATATATATATACAGATTTATATAAAGGTTAAAAATATATACATGTAAATTATTATTATGATTTGGTATGTTACCCTTAAACCAGTGAGATAATAACTGCTGCATGTTGTCATTGAACTAATTGGACATTTGAAAAATGCCCATCTCATCTTGTCTGGTTCCCACATGTGTTTGGTTCTGTCCCCAGGGAGCAGAAGGGCAAGAGGAACAGTCAGTGGGTCCCCACGTTGCCCAACAGCTCCCACCACCTGGACGCAGTGCCCTGCTCCACCACCATCAACCGCAGCCGGAGTGGCCGCGACAAGAAGAGGACCTTCCCCCTGTGGTGAGCAGCCTGCGCCCCCCACTGCTGTGTTTAGTCACGCAGAAACGCGGATCACGTGCACCATAAGGTTTAAATCAGGGCTGTCAGTCGATTAAAATATTTAATCGCGATTAATCGCATGATGTCCATAGTTAATCGCAAATTAATCGCAAATGTTTTATCTGTCCTAAATGTACCTTAGAGGAATATTTTTTCAAGTTTTTAATACTCTTATCGACATATGAGTGGACAAATATGCTTTATGCAAATGTTTGTTTGTTATCATTGGAACAATGACAAATATTCTCCTGAATATTTTCAATACAACAACCTGGAACCTCTCTCTCTCTCTTACACTCTCTCCCAACCCTGTCTACTTCTCTGCACTGAGCCAGTTGCTCAAACAGACAAGCCTGTTTACAGTTATCGGCGAAATGCCGCTCCTCTGTCTTCATAACAGTCAAAGCATGAGACTGAAGTTCCCACTGTGGGTACAAATAATGCACTGTGACACGTTGGATGCGATCCGAATTATCTCACACAGTCCCTCGTCCTCCACAATGTTAATTGTCCTGCAAGCTGTAGACACCCATTTAGCTATCGCTTGCTGCTCGTAGACGCCGTGTCCAGGCGTCCAACCGGCAAACTTTAAAGCGTGGTCTGCCGCAAGCGAGCGGCAGCAGCGGGGCTGTCAGCATCAGCTGTGTACTTGGCTTGCTGTTTAAAACACCTTTTTTTGTATCCATATCTCACTAGAATCTCCCACCATCCAACTAACAACAACAACAACAACAATGTCAAGCCTTTGGGCTCTGAAACTACGGAGCTTGCCGAGGACAACTACACATGCGTTAATCGCACGGCAAAATAATTAGTGGCGCTAAAAAAAAATTGCATTATTAGCGCGTTAACTTGACAGCCCTAGTTTAAATATATTGAAATATATGTATATACTAATACAGTGTTTCCCACAGATTTGAAATATACTTGGGGGGTGGTGGTAGCGGGGGGGGGGGGGGTGGTTTGAGGTGATGTGCAACAACATTAACATTAACCTTTCTGTTGGTCGCTTGTTAGCAGACCCTTCACACGATGGCAGAGCGAACAGGTACAGGCACGGCCCATAGTGATATCCCTATAGTTTAATTCTACTACCCACACATAAACATATGGCTGTGGGTTACTATTTTTTTTTTTTTTAATGGTAAATGTATTTAGGAACCTATCAATGTGATTTTAAGTGGGGGTGGACCTCAAATTCTCTAGGGGGGTCCGGGAGCATGCTCCCCCGGTAAGATTTGTTTTACATTTTGGAGTTAAATGCATCAATCTGGTGCACTTTGAGGGGAAAATAAAGAGACTAGATCTATGGGAACACCTATATGAAACATAACTGTATACATTTCAATAATCATAAAATCAGGGTCATAACCAATAACATATCCAATATGAAAAAACACTGACACCCTCAAATGGAAATATGTGTTTACATATATGGTGACCGAATATTTCTTTTTAATTAATTATAAAAAATAAAACTAAATGGGTCGCGAAATATACTTGGGCGGCCGTTAATATACCTGGGCGGCCCCAAGTATAGTCTGTGTGTGGGAAACCCTGACTAATAATAATAAAGCTTTATTTATATAGCACTTTTCATACAGCACATGCAGCTCAAAGTGCACAGTGATGTGTGCCATTTTGTTGGCACACATCACAAGTTAAAAATAAACAACAAGAAATTCCCCTCAGATTAGATGTTAAGAACTTTACAGGTACATGCAGCAAAATACAACAATTAAACAGGTTAAGACACACAAGGAGGTCAAAGGTATGATAATAAAATACAATAAAATAAAATAAATAATGATTTCTCTCCGAGAGATAAGACCCAAGACAACTGAATCGATGCAACAATATAAAACCCCATAAAACAAATTGAACATATAGGTACAACAGAAATACAAATAAAAAGATAATAGTAATACAAATGTAATATATAGGAATTAGATCTAGTTTCTGTTGCAGTTGGTGAATTTTTTTTGTTTTTTCTTCTTGCCCAGCTTTGACGACCACGATCCAGCAGTGATCCACGAGAACGCCACTCAGTCTGAAGTCCTGGTTCCCATCCGCCTGGACATGGAGATCGAGGGACAGAAACTCAGAGACGCTTTCACCTGGAACATGAACGGTAATGCCCCAACATCGCCTTTTCTCTCAGCTCAGCAAAATAGGGTATCAAAGCAAAAAAAGATTGGAGCCAATATAAGTTTTGACACATTTCTTTGCCTTTTTGACATTCCCAGAAAAGCTGATGACGCCCGAGATGTTCGCTGAGATCCTCTGCGACGACCTGGACCTCAACCCGCTGGCCTTCGTCCCCGCCATCGCCTCCGCCATCCGACAGCAGATCGAGTCGTATCCCACAGACAGCATCCTGGAGGAGCAGTCGGACCAGAGGGTGATCATCAAGGTGACGCTCTACACTGCCTGGAGCTCATGAAGAATCTATCAAATGTTTTCACGATACTTGAAGCCTATTCTGAGAAATGTTTTTGGTTTTCAGTTGAACATCCATGTGGGGAACATCTCCCTGGTGGACCAGTTTGAGTGGGACATGTCCGAGAGGGAGAACTCTCCGGAGAAATTCGCCCTGAAGCTGTGCTCCGAGCTGGGCCTGGGCGGAGAGTTTGTCACTACCATCGCCTACAGCATCCGCGGTCAGCTAAGCTGGCACCAGAGGACGTACGCCTTCAGGTACTGTCCACAGAGCGGGAGGTGTGGTGGAAAGCATGTGAGCTCAGTGTCCTATCTCCCAAACATCATGAGTACATTTTGAGCTTTAACCGGTAAAAGAAATACAAGTAGTAGTTTGTTGTCAGGTTTGACACATGCTTTCTACGGTGGCCAACAAGTACAAACGTGTTAAAACTGCTTAAAACACTTCCATTACGGGATACGCGCTGCAGTTTCTAAATCAGGGGTCTCCAACCTTTTTTAGGATGAGAGCTACTTTCAAAAAATAAAACAAGTCGGGGGCTACTTTTACATTATGATATGCTTACTTTTAACCTTTGTGTGCTGTTTGGGTCTGTGGGACCCGTTTTCAGCGTTTACTAAAAGAAAATGTATGCAATAAAATTATTTTAACCTGCTTTATTTGAGGGTGGACCTCACATCCTCTAGGGGGGTCCGGGGGCATGCACCCCCGAGAAGATTTATTTAATGAAGTGAAATGCATCAATCTGGTGCACTTTGAGAGCAAAATGAATGTATTGATACAGCTCTCAACACTCAGATGAAAGGGAGCTGTATACTTTTCAATAATCCAAACATCTTTAGAATATGATCACAACCAATCATTTAAACTTGTTTATTCTTATCTTATGTTACCTAGTTAGCATTCTTTCTTTTTATTTATGCATATTTTACTAATCACTAGGGATGTAACGATATATCGAATATCGCGATATCGCGGTAAATAAATGTCTCAATACCGTCGTGAGACTGACAAAATCTACCGCAATTAAAAAATGTTTTAACTAATCTTTTTTTTTTTTTTAAAACCTTTATCAATCAATCAATCAATTTTTATTTATATAGCCCAATATCACAAATGTTACATTTGTCTCAGTGGACTTCACAGTTTGTACAGAATATCAGTATGACAATACGACACCCTCTGTCCTTAGACCCTCACATCGTACAAGGAAAAACTTCCAGAGAAAACCCACAGTTTAAATGTATTCAAACCAGGTGGTCCCATTGAGATCATCGATCTCTTTTTCAAGGGAGACCTGTCCAACATGGCAGCAAGTAGGTTACAACATGAACATAAAACAACAGATAACAATAAAGGACATCGTATTTACAGGGCTACATGTACATACCTAGAGACATTGACAAGTACCAACAGTATATTTATATCTCGCCCTGTCAATAAGCCTCACCTTCTTGGCAACAACTGTATTGTTTTTGAAGTGGTGGAGAGACAATGCACAGTTGTACCCACTGCTGTCACCCATGGCCAAAGCATATCTCTCTGTCCCAGCAACATCAGTACCAAGCAAGAGAGTTGTTTCCACAGCAGGGGATATTGTAAACACCCAAACATCCCAGCTTCTACCTGGAAATGTGGACATGCTCATATTCCTAAAAGATAACCTTGATGATGCTGAGTGAGTGAGTGAGAGTTGAGTTACTTGAAAAACTAAAGTGAAACTTTATTTATTCTATTGCAGGCGTCTGATTATTATATTGTTGACACTTTAAAATACTACTATCCTACTAAAATGCTGTACAAATCAGATTTATTATTTAATAAAGAAAAAGAAGAAGAAGAAAATTCACATTTTTTTTCCTTTTATTTTTCAATATCGCGATAAATATCGTAACTTGGACTTTTTATCGCGATATTATCGTACCGTGAGTTTTTGGTATCGTTACATCCTTACTAATCACTCCCGTTTTTGTTGTTGTTCTGTCCTATAGTACACATTGGAATGATTTCTTACTTTCTTTTTTACAACTAGGCTATACTAAATAGATAAAGGTGTGCTATCGCTCGCTCTCTCGCTCTCTCTCTCGACATGTCCCCAGTCTTAATTACGCCATGCGTATGTGTGCGTCAAGTGTAATAAATATATATGCAAGTTGCAACACACAGAGTAAAACTCTGCCCCTCATGTGCTATGGCTGGCATGACTAGGCTGTGTTCAATGGGGCTGATGTGATGTGTAGATTCTGCCAGACGGAAAATCAGGGTCCAACTCCCTATGAAGCGGTGAGCTGCCGCTCCACATTGCTTTTCTTCCCGACTGCAATGCTGGTCCCGCAAATCAAGCAAGAACGTGATTGGTCGATATTCATTGTGGGGGGTGGGGGGAGGAGGGGTGTTAGATAGATATAGTGTTGTAGTAAGTAGATAGAGTTTGCTATGATTGAGGTTTGGTTATGCATAGAGTAGATTCTTTTAATTACATTTCCTTTTTTTGGTGTATTTTTCCATTTTGGATTTGCTTGGCGAGCTACTTATTGACTTCACCAACTTCACAACACATGCTCAGCGTTTGTCCTAATGAAACGAGGCAAATACTAAACACTGCAAATAATGTAAATATATTTGTACTTAATTCTAAAGTGCACATGTTTTATTTCCATCATTACGTCAATCTCCTTGTGAGATTATTGAATCTTGATTATAGCTGTAACGTTGATAATAAGAAACCTGAAGAATTAGATATTTTAACATTCAAGAATGCAAACAAATATTAACATAATGTAATAGTGTATTGTAATGTTTTTGAAGGGGCACTTTGATCACACAGATACATTATTGATCATTTTGAAATATTACATTTTCTCATTTTGAAAACTTGCAGAAATAAGCGCTTTGGAAAAGTCTGGCCTGTTGACATCTCTGTTGTTGTGTATGTCGTTGCCATGGCTGCTATTTACTGCTCTCATGGATATTTTCTGGGTGAATCGAGTTCCTCACCTCCCCGGGATGTGAAGTAATACAATATTTCTAAACCCAGACTGATCTCCGTAACAGTTGGATATCCGGTGTGGAAGAAATATATTTATATATATATATAATTTCTCTGCTTATTTCACAACAACGATGGGTGATTGGTAATGCAATCAATCAAACAGAGATGTTCACTTATTCATCAGCATGCATGAAGTTAAATCCATTATTTCATTTGCTTCTCACGATTGTTTCTTTGGAGTTGTGCTGTTTCCTAAAATATCTTGTTTTCTTTCAAAACAGGATGTGTTTTTCCCGTCTTTCCTCGCTGCTCATCAAAACTATGCTAAATGTTTTCGTAACTTGTCATAATATTACGCTATTGTTACCGTTGCTTGGAACGTGCGTGCTTCAAGATTTGTGTAAACGGGGGGAAGTGACTCCCTGTTATGGATTGATTGGAAAACATCCCATCTGAGTCACTTGAAAGGAAACCCACATCTGAGTCTCCAGCTGCAGCCGAGGGAACACGTGTCCACTGAGTCCGCAGTGAAGTACATCCATAGTGACCATTGTTTTTGGTTGGTGTTTTGCAGTGAGAACCCCCTCCCCACAGTGGAGATAGCCATCAGAAACACAGGTGATGCCGACCAGTGGTGCCCCCTGCTGGAGACCCTGACAGACGCAGAGATGGAGAAGAAGATCAGAGATCAGGACAGAAACACCAGGTGAGTGAGGCTGAGGCTTTAATGCACCTCCATGATGGAGCAGTCAGCTGTTTGTTACCATACTTCCTTCCTGTGGAGATAAATAAAAACTAGAACAAAATGGAAATCAGAGGTGTATATATATTATAACAACTGATCTATTTAAGATCACAACAGTTGCTTGTCAATTGAATCATCCATTACTTGTCTAATCGTTAAGCTTAATTCACTATTCTACTTTTGTAGTGCCAAATAACATAGTTCAGTCCTGACTTAGTAAGGGACCCGTAAAAAAAGGTAATACATGAATTGATTAGTTTAACAGGGACAGTGCACATTAATCCAAATGAATCAGATATGATGAACACGATCATCTTGATAAATGATCATCTTTTAGGTCATTTTTGAAAAGTAAAATGTCAAACATTAGTTGTGAACTGAATAGTGCTTAAAACGTAATCGATTGAGTAACTTCATGAAGAGTAGACCAGATGTTGATATATTGGATAATTGTTTAATTATAAAAATGTTTTAAGTTGATGGTTCCAGCCTCTTTTTTTGAAGATCATTTTTTACAATTTCCTTGCATTTGAAAGATGAAGCGATTCAAATGGTGTACAGCCCATTTGCTGCTGCTGTATATTGTTTTTTTTGGTATATTTCAGAAATATGATCTGTTGCAAACACATGTTTATTATACTTAAACATTTTGTTCAGCGGGATAATCTCCACATAGAAACGCCACTTTCATAATAAGTTAAGTATAAATGCATTGGACAAAAGTAAAAAGATACCGCTTGGCTTTATACAAACTTCATCACCACCGCTGAGCTCAAGGCGGCTAATGCTCAGCATGATAATGTTTAGTTGTCTCATATAGCCACTTGTTAGCAACCGCCATTTTAAGACACGTAAAAACTTCTGACATTCACCAGTGAGTTGTTATTGACATATATTTGTCATTAAACCAATTATTATACACATCTTATAAGCTCTTATTTGCACCTTATTTCGGGAATCTAACCAAAAACCCAATCAAAATACTTTGATACAGGGGACCGTCATCTCTAAAATGCTTACTCGTTTCCACGCTTTAGGACTCATCCCTGCACCACTCTGTTTGGAAGACGTTACCCTTCAGCATTCAACCAAATGATCAAATAACATTGATTATCATCACGTTAAACGAATAGTATTTGGACCTCTAGTAAGAAGAGTGAGATTTGTAATAGTCTGCGGTAGCTGACACTGTTTCCCTTCCTTCTCTCCACAGGCGAATGAGGCGACTGGCGAACATGGCGCCTGCGTGGTAGGGTGACGGCGCCCCCTGCAGGAGCTCGTCTTCACTGAGGTTTGGTTCTGTCACGTCCCTCCATCGCGCGCTGGATGTCTTTTCTGCTCCACCGGATTCTCAGTCAGACATTCACCTTTTCATTTTTTATTTTCATTATTGATGTTATTGCTTTGTTCTTTTTGGCAAAGCCCCCGGTAGAAAACCCCGTCGTCTTCCCCTCAGACCCCCGGTGTTGAGAGGCTGCTCTCTCACTTTGACCACTGACTCTCTTTACCTGACCAGAGGGAGAAAAAAAACCACAGCCAGTCTCAGATAATATATTGTTATGTTGTATTTGTTGTCTTTTTGTACATTTTAATAATTCTTACAAAATAAATAAAAAAGTGAAAGAGCTTAATTTGACGTTTTGTTATATTGTGCATCAGTTTAAAGAAGCCCTAAAATCCCTGTGTTCCCTCCAGAGGGAGTTTCTCCCCCCCCCCCCCTTGCCTGCAATGCCTCCTTTATAGTCCTTGGTTTACTTATGTATATGTAAGTGTAAGTATATAGTGACATCACTATGTAACACTCTCGCCCCTATTGGCTTGCGCTCCAACACATTGTACGTGATTTGCTAAGAGACGGGACATCTCTAACCGGTTGACCAATCACCACAGAGCCAGCCAGCTAACCAGTCCGAGCAGACTGGGCTCTGGTTTCAGACAGAGGGTGAAAAGAGGTGCTGCAGTATGATACAAATAAAGAGCTTTATGAACATTAAAGCAAGGCACAAAATATGAAAGTGAAAATGGGCGTAATAGGGCCCCTTAAAAAGTAAATGAATAAACAATTTCTGCATTACTATGGGAATATGATATTATTGTTTTATTGAATATGCATGGCACCTTAGTGTCATTTCTTTCATCTTGAGAGATGCATTTTATTTCTAGCTCACAAAATAAATGGTGTTTTAATTAGCGGTTGTGATACTTAAAGGTGGCATATTTTCTCTGGTAACAAAGGCAGTTGAAGTGTCAGTCTAATATATTCTTTGAGATTCAAATAATATTAATATTGGTGGCAATTACATTTTCTACAGATATCTGTTTTCCTCAGAGTACATTTTTATAACTTTGATGATCCTTTGACTTTTCCCTCTATATCAGCCATCAGCTTAAATTGTGTCCATCACAAGTCAATGACCAACTGCCTTTCAGAAGTAACAGCACTCCCATCAGCCTCAGCTGCACCTTTAGCTCTGTGCCAGTCAGATATTGCTAGGATGCTAACACGCTAAACAAAGAAGTTGAACATGTTAAACATACCAGCAGAACATTGTCATGTGTAAGAGTGTTAGCATCTCTTTGTTAGCATTAAGCTTAAGGTCAAATATGCAGTGTCATTTCTAAAAGTGAGCTAATTTGTTCAGTTTTTTAAGAAGGCTTCTGTAAGTTGAACTGACGAGTACAAATAAAAACTTGCCTGCCTTTTTTTAACGAGGAAACAAGTTTCTATTTTTTCTTTGTTTAATATAAGTCACAAAAGAAAGGCTGTAGTTTAATTTCTAGAACAAATTAGTTTAAATTGCAATACTGGTCAGCAAAATTGCAATTAAATATTACATCTTTAGATTTTTGTTTTTATTAAACAAATCAAATGTTAAATATCAGGTACGTGTGTGTGAATTTCCCCACATTGAATTGTCAATACCACGATGATTTTTCCTATAAATGTGCTTGCTGATGCTTTCCATTGAATCCCTGCAAACAGAAACGTTTTCTTGACTAAAATGTTCCACAGTGCCGTGTCACGACTGACAATGAAATATGTGTGGTTGCCGGACGCTCCCACAGAGACTTGTTTGCTTGTTGTTGTGCTAAGCAATTTCCATTTAGTTCGCCAGTGTTTGACCCACAAAAGGCAGCGGGTGAAAGTGCAGAGTGTGCAGACGGGCTGCTGGTTTCAGGAGGTCGGCAGTTCAGTGTGACAGCAGCAGGGAGGGAACTGCTTTGACTTATTTTACACAGTTGGAGTGTGCTTACTTAGGAGGTTTATATTTGTTTATGCTGATAAAGTGAATAGCTTTATAAAGAGAGATCAGGTGAATCACTCACTGCCTCGTTGCTAGGTTTGGAGTTTTGTAAAGAATATTTTGACAAGTTCAAGCATACATTCTGTTAGGCATGCACGTACATCTTAGACTTTAAACAGCTCATGTGGGCAACATCTTAACCCAAATGTCCAGTTACAAGCTTTTTATGAAGCCCTTGCATCTTATTGACCTCAGAAAGGGTTTACAATGTATCCTCGTATGAAACCATCTGACGTTCATGTGATTGCCCCCCGATAAAGACCAAGAGATACGATAGAAAGCTAAATAAAAAACAATTATTGTAAATCGACCTTAATGGTGCCCTGTGTGTTGCCTTTACCGTTATTGTGTGTATCTTTGAGGTCTCACTTTTCTTTCTCAGTAAACATTTGATATTAACATTTTAAATCCTGCAGTGTTGACTTGCTTTTGGTTTTCTTCCCTGCCTTTTATGTCGCCCCGTGCTTGTGCACTATGAAAACACAACAGGGACCTACTCGTAAAAACATTTCTCTGCTGAATCGTGGTCAAATGAACTACAGGATGCCCTTTTAAGTTCATTTCCACCCCCAAAAAAGGTTACTTGGTGTGTCTTCCTTCTACACATGATTCCATATTTTCTTTGCTTTGATTCAATTATGTTTTTTGTCCGAAATAAACTCTCCGTAGTTGAACTGCTTAGTGGCAATGTACCATTAGGTAAGAAATATTGTGAATATTCATGATGCTGATGTGCAGTTCAATTTTAAATGTCGTTACTGCACTCTGCGAGGAGTCAGGGCTCCGCAGATCCACATCTTCTAACTGTCTTCCTGTGTCCTCAGATTTATCCAGATTGTTGTGGTCTTAGTATTATTACTCCTGTGGCTCCTCGTCCTGCAGCAGATCTTCCCCCTGCTGTTCTTCATGGAGCGGACGGTAGTCAGGGTCCTCCGGCTGATCGAACATGGCCCGCCTATGAGGAGGAAAAAGGGGTCTCATGATGTTGACAATAGATATATATGTTTGCATTACTTATATACGATAACAAAAAATGAATTTACTTACTAAACTCTAGGACCGTATTAGGGTTAAAGTCTTCTGCAAGTCATCTATTTCCAAACGACTAATAACGGCACTATTGAGCATTTTGGGGTCTTCTCTTTCCTGTTATACAGGTTTTTTGTGCATGTAATGGTCTCTTAAGGCTCAAATCCCAAACTTCCCTCCCCCCCTGCCTGAAACACCTCCATTGGTCTCCTTTGTTTACTTCCGTAACGTAGTGACGTCAATATGTAACACTTACGCTTCTATTGGCTATCGCTCCAACACATTGTAGGTGATAGGGGCGGGACATTTCTAAGTGGTTGACCAATGACAATAGAGCCGGCCAGCTAATCAATCAGAACAGACTGGGCTCTGGTTTCAGACAGAGGGTGAAAAGAGGTGCTGCAGCACAGGCAGTATGACAAAAAAAAAAATGCGGTTTGAACATTAAAGCATGGAGACATGTCCCAGTAGAGACACAAAATACAAATATGAAACCTGCACATTAGCATAATATGTCCTCTTTAAAGTTTAGAAAATAAACATCTCGGACTTACAGAAGTTCTGGCGTCATCAGCAGCCTCCGTCCTCCCAGCTGGTTTGGAAACACGTCTTCCAGGAAGTAGTACATGTGACCCACACTGATACCTGAGGAAAAACAGAAATAAACACACGCGCTGTAGCTTTTATTTATTAAATCTTACATTCACTGTTAAGCTGCCACAAAAACTCGCCACTGAAAGTATAGTCCCCGGGAAATGCTCTAAATCATCCTGTTAATTTAATAAAAACCACAATAACCAGCTGTATTAGTTAATAAGTGAGCCTTTTAAAATCTCAAACTATATACTGTATAGTCAGTATAGGAGCCAATGCAGACAGGAAACAGAAAGGATTCAGAGACTCACTAAAACATTGTTTTTTTTTCTTTTCATTGGATTTTTTAACACAAGTATCACTCTGTTGTTGTTGTTGTTGTTGTTGTTGTTGTTGTTGACTAGCTTTTTATATTTCTCTGATACACTTATAATATTTAAATTGAATCCATTTGAACTAATAGAAGGCAAATAATGCAATTCAGGCCCCCTGCTATTTGATTATATAAATTGTTTACGTTGCAGGTTTCATGATTTTTACGCTATCTTAATTTCCCTGTGTAGCCTTCCTGAACATTAGCCAAATATCTGAGCAGATTATTAGGAGTTACAGGTTACATCAGATGTTGGCGTTTGTTTAAATGTTTTTATACCTAGGAGGTCGACCACAATGGAGTTTCCGAGCAGCAGCGAAAATCCCATGAGCACCCAGGGGAGGAAAGGTGCCTGGAAGTTCAGGAGGCCGAAGAAGTTCATGCGTACGAGCGGATGTCTTTTACTCCACACATACACCAGCATGATGATGAAGGCCTGGCCCAGGAAGAGGACGTTGGCGAACAGACCGAACAGCTGCAGGCAGTCAGGTTAAATACAACTAATTATTTAATTGTATTTTCATTAGGACAAAGAAAATGCCACATGAGAGCTGCTGCTTTAATTGTAGATTAAAGTTTCAGGGTAGCAGACATTTCTAAAACGACAAACCTTCAGAAAGAATTGCCTTTAGTCAAACCAGAACTAGGCAGCTGGAAAGAAAGCTACTTTATAGAAGATTTCTGCCCTCTGTATCTCATGGATATGGAAGCCCATTTGGGCCCTCCAGAAAAACGCGATTATGCGATCGCATAATTTACCGCATAATCAGCAAAATGGCGCAGATTTTTAAAAGGGCGCATATTTATTAAAAGGGCGCATAATCGCATTTTTCCACACAAAGTTGAGGAAAAAAAAGTTAACTCGTCTTGACGTGAAGTAGTGATGATGATGATGATGATGATGACGCGACGTCATCAGCTCGCGCATCACAGAAGGTAAACAACACCGTAGAGTGAACGTGTGGAGCTCACACGAGAGAGAAAACACCAAGATGAAAAAATCTAATCCATCTCATTTACCGACGAACATTTCTGCTAAAGACCGGGCAAAGCAGTACCCCGATGTCTTGCACGAAAGTAGGGGGAAACTATTCTGCACCCTGTGCAACTGTGTGTTGGAGCATAAGAGAACATCGACGGTGACGACCCACTTTGATTCATTCAAAGATTGTGTGTGAGAGAGTGTGATTAAAATAGCCCAATTGCTTTTACAATAAATAAACATTGAATGTGTTTAATGGAATAGTAAAGGGGTTTAACGTTAGTGGCAGGTTGTGTGTGAATTAAAAAATATATATATTTAGCATATTTCGCAACTTCCCGCAATTTCACCGCATAAAATCACATAAAAACCCTGCATAATCGCATAATCAAGGATTTTTGCCTGCGTTTTTCTGGAGGGTCTACCCATTTCTGCCACAAAAAGGGAAAAACTAATTAAAGGTTGATAACAACAAAAATTGTGAATATAGCCCAAACTTATGATACATTTATTGATTTATTAAAATTAGTCTGATTAAAAATGTTTACGGTTAACTTTTGGTATGTGTATGGTTTTTGTAATTTTCAATTTATTGATAATCTTTAGTTTATTTATTTTCTATCTTTCAGAATGAATTAAGTTTGACCTAACTTGAATCTTACTATTTTCCCTAATTTGGATTTACGTTTAACTAAATAATTCATGATTTTGACAGGCCAATGTTTTCCTCATTGTTCATAAATGGTTAGTCCATAAATATTCTTTAAACTGGCAATTTCGGCCTCAGGTAATGTTACAAAACATTACATTACCAAAATATTGAAGTATTTGTAAGACTAATCTTCTAAACTAGAAACATTTACTACTTTTTGATAGGAGGCATTTTTGTCAGAGCGTTTTGTTTACCGATGCTAAACCCTTCACCATAAAAGTCTGCCTAAGCATGTTACTGTCCTTATAACACGCTCCACACTGATATTACCTCAGGATTAGACTTGCTTATAAAACTGTCCATTAAACATCACAAGGCTCCAGAAAAACCCATGAAGCCGCACATTCAAAGCGGCCCAGGGGGATGTCTGCTGTGAGCAGACCCAGGACGGTATCATTAACCTGGAATGTGAGCAAAGCTTTCTGGTTACGATCTGCTGAGCATCGGCCAAAAGAGACAGCGTGTACAGTAGCTGGTTTTACATGCTTATAGCCAGAAGGGACCTACACATACGCATGTTAAACCTTAAAGGATCCTGTTCGGGAAATATTTTCCAAGGCCCATAACTTTGACCCAGTTTATCAGTTCATACTGTCCTGACTGAGCACACGCACCTGTAACCTTGGCTGCTGTGCTCTCAGTGTTTTGTCTCCCTGTTCCTGCCTGTTTGCGTCAGCTGATAGAGGTGTTATGGTTCTATCTTGTTATGCACAATGTGGATTATTCTCTCTGAACTAGATACATACCTGGGTCTGGGGTAGAGTTCTTCAGAATTGACGTGGCAACTCTACTGTGAAGTCAGAACCTCTGACTCTTTGACTTGTTTTGTGAATTCTCCGGCCGAAGCTCCAAATAAACCATCAGTGTTTGCCATCAAAACTCCAGCTCTCCCTGTGTCTCCTTTGAGTCGGTGACTCCTCCTGCATTGCTACACAGAAGTTTCCCCCACAGATTCGTTCATGCAATGTCAACTACAAAGAGCATAGTTCATGTGTTAGCTTTTGCCGTACCTAACTGCAGATTGTTTGGTTTTATTTGTCCATATTTTTTTATGAATTTCATCCCTTGGGATAGCTGCTAAATTAAAATGTAAGGTTAAAATCCATCCAGAAAAAACGTCTTGAATCTACAGACCTCACTGTGGACGGTGTTTTTTTAGCAGAATTAAAACAATAAATCAACTATCAGGTTGATTTTGATTTTGTAAGCTTCTAGGTTCTTAATTTTTCCTGAAAATGCGAAAATTGACTCTTAAGCAGCGTTGGTTGGACATTCTCGATTATTGGCACTTTTCTCACTTATTTGACATTTAACTGTCATTGTTAAGTCGGTGTGTACATTCCTCTTTAATATATCTTTCTTCCTTCCAAATATCATGATAAATGCGGGGCTGCCCAGTGCCCATATGTTCCACTGATACTTTAAAAAGCTATTATGGTAAAAATATTATCTCATAGGTGAAAAGATGTATTTCCGGACGCGAGGCGATGTTTTGGGGGCGGCGCGATTAAATGTAAAATCAATGCAGAGACGCGGACAGACAAGAATTCGCTCCGACGGCGAGCATGAAGCGGTGGACGCGGCGCGAATCACGCGGTTGAGGCGATTGAACGGTGCCGCGTCAAACGCGAGAGTTCAATTTTTTCAACTCGAGCGTCAAATTCACGTGACGCGTTCTCGCGGAAGCCAATCAGCGGTGAGGATCTCAGCCTGCCGTCACTGACATTCAACCAGAAAACATCAGCCGTTAGCTGTTAGCATACAGAGATCACAGCTCATATCTGTTCAGAAACTGGACACAAGTTAAACAAGTACAAACCACATACTGTCTGTGTCATGTCTGCGAATACAGTCGCTGGTTTATTTATGTCTGTAGGCCGTTCTTATGAGTGTGGAGTGAGCATATACAACGTTAGCTTAGCCTGGTCGACCCGACCTTCATTCAGAAAACAAGCATTTTAAAAGGTTTTCCGCCTGCCGTCTTGTCTGCAGACTTGTCAAAGCATTAATTCATGGTTTTTACTAACCGGTATCAGTATGTTGTTACTTCGGCATCATTTAGAAACGTGTATTACAATTTTATCACGGTAAAATATGTTCATTTTGTTGTAGTTGTAGCTCCCGAGTCAGCGCGTCTTGTTTGAATGATGCGAGTAAACACAGCTGGCAGCCGTGGTGAAACTCGAGCGATTAGAGCGAAGCGAATATTCGCATCGCGTCCGGTGTGAACGCAGCATTATGAGAGGACCCTTTAAGGAATTATTTAAAGGGGACATATGTTGCTTAATTTTAGGTTCATATTCATAATTTGGGTTTCTACTAGGACACGTTGACCTGCTTTAATGTCATAAAAACAAATTATTTTCTTCTACAGTCCATCTAAATATTCCTGGTTTCAACCTCTGTTTGAAACGCTTCGTTTTAGCGCCTATATCTTTTAAGAAAACCCCTGAGAAAGCCAAATCTGTTCTGATTGGCTTGAAAGAAAGTTATGGCGTAACTTTTCAAAGGTAGTTCTCTAGACCTCGGTGAATCCTATTGTTTTCTGACCGAGGCAGCCACCAAAACACTTTCATATTATTTTACAGTTATTTTGTTGGTAGTACTCCATAATCCAAAATGTACGTGTACAAGCACTGCAAAAGTGGGTTTTCTTGATACCTCCCATTTAAGAATGTCTTGACAGCGGGAGTTTGAGCACTATTGCAGTACAATTAAAAATGTGTATTTATTTTGCTTAACATCTGAAGGATACAGTCATCACGATTCCTCCAAACAGGAACATGAAAACAAAATCTGCCGTCCTCCCCCGGAAACAGCCTTCCTCCAGCATCCGACAATATCGATAACTTACTTTTGTTAAGGACACCGCTGCACAAATATGATGTTAGACTTTATGGTACTGGAAAAGCAATTCTGTGATAAAAGATACAGAAAGATGATGTTGAACACGAAGCTGAATCCAACAGAACCAAAGAAGAGGAAGCTGGTTATCAGACGCCATATCTGAGGCAGAAAAAAACATGTCATTATAAAACACAAACAATGAATGCATTTTGAATTAATTAATTAATGTTACCTGGTATTGTCTGATGATGAGGTCTGGATTAAAATACAGCTGAAAGGGAGTAATGACCTCAAGTTGCTAAAAAAAAAATGAAACACCTTGAAATTACTTTTCAAGATGGTATTAAGACATTCATTGATAGTTACTAGTTTTTAGATGAACACTTGAAAACATCATTGTGTTAGATCGAGGGGATCTACACTGAACAAAAATATAAATGCAACACTTTTGTTTTTGCTCCCATTTTTCATGAGATGAACTCAAAGATCTAAAACATTTTTTATATACACAAAATAACCATTTATCTCAAATATTGTTCACAAATCTGAAAAAATCTGTGATAGTGAGCACTTCTCCTTTGCCGAGATAATCCATCCCACCTCACAGGTGTGGCATATCAAGATGCTGATTAGACAGCATGATTATTGCACAGGTGTGCCTTAGGCTGGCCACAATAAAAGGCCACTCTGAAACGTGCAGTTTTGCTTTATTGGGGGGGTCCGAAAACCAGTCAGTATCTGGTGTGACCACCATTTGCCTCACGCAGTGCAACACATCTTCTTCGCATAGAGTTGATCAGGTTGTTGATTGTGGCTTGTGGAATGTTGGTCCACTCCTCTTCAATGGCTGTGCCAAGTTGCTGGATATTGGCAGGAACTGGAACACGCTGTCGTATACGCCGATCCAGAGCATCCCAAACATGCTCAATGGGTGACATGTCCGGTGAGTATGCTGGCCATGCAAGAACTGGGATGTTTTCAGCCTCCAGGAATTGTGTACAGATCCTTGCAACATGGGGCCGTGCATTAACATGCTGCAACATGAGGTGATGGTCGTGGATGAATGGCACAACAATGGGCCTCAGGATCTCATCACGGTATCTCTGTGCATTCACAATGCCATCAATAAAATGCACCTGTGTTCGTCGTCCATAACATACACCTGCCCATACCATATCCCCACCACCACCATGGGCCACTCGATTCACAACATTGACATCAGAAAACCGCTCACCCACACGACGCCACACACGCTGTCTGCCATCTGCCCTGAACAGTGAAAACCGGGATTCATCCGTGAAGAGAACACCTCTCCAACGTGCCAGACGCCATCGAATGTGAGCATTTGCCCACTCAAGTCGGTTACGACGACGAACTGGAGTTTGACAAAAATGGAGCATGCAGATGAGCTTCCCTGAGACGGTTTCTGACAGTTTGTGCAGAAATTCTTTGGTTATGCAAACCGATTGTTGCAGCAGCTGTCCGAGTGGCTGGTCTCAGACGATCTTGGAGGTGAACATGCTGGATGTGGAGGTCCTGGGCTGGTGTAGTTACACATGGTCTGCGGTTGTGAGGCCGGTTGGATGTACTGCCAAATTCTCTGAAACGCCTTTGGAAACGGCTTATGGTAGAGAAATGAATATTCAATTCACGGGCAACAGCTCTGGTGGACATTCCTGCTGTCAGCATGCCAATTGCTGACAGCGTGCGCTCCCTCAAAACTTGCGACATCTGTGGCATTGTGCTGTGTGATAAAACTGAACATTTTAGAGTGGCCTTTTATTGTGGCCAGCCTAAGGCACACCTGTGCAATAATCATGCTGTCTAATCAGCATCTTGATATGCCACACCTGTGAGGTGGGATGGATTATCTCGGCAAAGGAGAAGTGCTCATTATCACAGATTTTTTCAGATTTGTGAACAATATTTGAGAGAAATGGTTATTTTGTGTATATAGAACATGTTTTAGATCTTTGAGTTCATCTCATGAAAAATGGGAGCAAAAACAAAAGTGTTGCATTTATATTTTTGTTCAGTGTATTAGCAGAGACGGAATATAGGTAGTATTCATATGTTTTTAAGTATGTATACATGTAATCATCTAAAACTAAGAATTGTTGTGTTGTGATTCGTTCAGATGCGTCACGTGGTGTGCTAAAACACTTCCTGGTTAGCTTTCCGCTAGAAATTGAAATCTCAAAATAGCAAAAGAACGGGGGGAAAAACGTTCACAGAGAAGACGACAACAATTGTCACTTGCACGAAGCAAGGTTATACAAACCACAAGTGACCCCGAACATGAAATACCTTCACGGAGTGCGTCGATGCGCAAGCTGTCATCCAAAGAACAGGAGGGTTTAGCTAGCGCCTCACTGCAATCTTTAAAGGTCGTTTTCTCAAAATGAGTTTTTTCTCCTACTCTGAGTTCGAAATTTCAACTTCAGTAGTACGTAGAGACACCAAACCTTCCAGTTATATTCCTATCAATATTATGAAGGCTTTTACAGAAGGGTTTGTTCATATATCATTCATAGCCTGAATTATACAACATTGTATACCTAAAACATGGCGAAAATTGATATTTTAGGGCTGTTGACAGTATTTTCTGATTTATGGAGTGATAAAAAGAGATATCCAATATCCCTTCTGTAAAAGCCTTAGATACTAATATGACTACAAAATGAAACAAGAATTTTGAACCTGGCTTTATCCAAAGTTCAGATTTCGATTCCTGAAATATGTTAAAATATGTGCATATTTCATGAGAGAATGGCTAATTTGTATATTTAAACATGCTATTTCAGAAAACTTGTAATACAAAAAACAATTGCCTTATTGTAAGTAATTAACTGGAGAAATTTCTAGCTGATACTTTTAAGTTAAAAAAATTACCCTATTCACCTGGGGTGTCTCGCCTTAAACATTTGAAAAGCTAAAGATCTCAAAACGATTTGAATGTCTGGTAGTTTAAGCCTTTTACAATTATTTATTATCTTAGTAAATGTGGAAAAAACACAATAAACCGTATGATCTAACTGTATAAAAAAAATCTGAAATTAACATAGATCGACTCTTAATAGGTAGATTGTACATTTTAAGAGTAGTAACATTTGAAAATGAATAGTTTCTAACTCTATATCTCAATAACAGTTTTATTTGTGATCCCAGTTTGGTGGCCAGAGTTTAAGCTGTTGTTGTTGTTGTTGTTGTTGTTGTTGTTGTCATGGTTTCTTACCACAGCAGCGGTGGTGAGGATGCAGGCGGTGGTGTACGCTCGTGTCACCACGGGGATCTGAAAGTACTCCTGAGTGAAGCTGTGAGCCATCGTGCTGCTGCTGCTCTCTGTCAGCCATCATCTGCTCACTGGGTGAGTCAACAACACAGGTCCCACCCCCTCACTGCCTTCTGCCAATCAGATTCCCCCTTCAATTAACACCATCCACCCCACACACTGACAACTCTTTCACATGCTATGGTCGCTTTTAAAGCAAATACATCAGAATTCAGATGCAGAAATATAAAGATACTTTATTTTGGTGATCTCTACATTTAACCCCAGTGTTATGATACCTTCATATTTTTTATTTAACAATAACTTCTTTAAAAAATGTATTTAATTTATGCTGGATTTACTTTCCAAAGTAAGTGAAAAAGATTTTAAATGTTTTACCTATATAAAAATGTGATGGTTATGATACTTGAGTGGATTAATTAAAAATAATAATAATAAAAAAATAAAAATACCCTTAAAAAAGTCCTTTAACTCAGTTGGATTTAGCTTATCAATTAAGTTTGTACAACAAAACAAACTTAAATACTTGCATAGTACCGACACTTGCATAACAATAAGGCAAATCAATAATAATAAAATAAAATAATATCTATAAAATTATTATTATAATAATAAGGCTACATATAATTATTTATTATCCACTATGTCTAGTATTGGAACCATAGTAATCGATCGATTGGTAAAAAGGTTATGTTTTTATTAGAAAGCAAACAATATGCAGTTCATACATTTCAATGCACTGGGTATGGGCTACATTTGAGTAAAAAAAAGAAAAAGTAATCAAAGACATGTATGTACAACAAACTTATGCTAAGTTGTTTGTGTATAAATATTATTTCACTGGTTAACACTTGAGTTGCAGAAACAATTCAAACAACAGAGTCTGAACAATGACTCGTCAGCGTCCTGCACTGAAAAACTGCGCTGAGCACCACAGTCTGAACTAAGCCTTCACATCTCAAGCGCTGCAACGATGACTCAGCGGTTCTCAACCAGGGTGACCTGACCCTCAGAGGTCAGAACATGTCACATGTAAGCTAGTAAAGTATGGAAATACTCAAGTAAAGTACCTCAAAGTTATACTTGAGTGAATGTACCTTTCCACCAATGCCATTTGTGTCTTAATACTACATTTGTCTTATGGTTCAGCAAAAAATAGCAAAAGCCTCCTGGTCAAAACCGCTGATCCACGCAGCAGCTTGTGTCCCTGAATGCATCACACTGACTGTGTGACCTGATTTGAGCACCGTGTTTTGTTAAAGAAAAGCGATGAATTAATGAAGTATGAGACATGAAAGACACAAACGGAGGAAATAATTGACATCTGCCCTCGAGATGGCGCACTGGAGCTTTTTCACTACCACAGAGAACCTGCAGTCTGGTGAGTCATCAAGAAGAGGGACAACAAAACATGACATACAGTGATGTTATCACATTTTATACCTCATATGGATACATAATTTCTTTAAGTCTTCATGTTGTTATATTGTAAAAGTTTCAGGGAAGAACAATTAGGTCACAAAAACGTACTCAAAACTTGAACATTTGGCCAAATATGAAAAATAAATACAATACTTTCTACATTATGTTTAGAATAAACTAGATAAAGGTCCTTGTGACCACCATCGTTTTTCAGAGGTGATGTTTTGTCAATATGAATCTCTAATGCGATATCTGAACTCTTCAGATCATCCTCCAATCAAAAGCCAGCACTGCAGAGATTTGCTAATAATCGGTTGCACACATTTGCGTCAAGTTAGTGTGTTTCCATCCACCTGTTTTTATGTGCATTTTCAAGTTGAGCAATACAAAACCTGAATGGATACACCAGTTGAAATATCTTTAAACTATTAGTTGTTGACTTTTAGTAAACCGTAAACCTTAATCAACAGTTATGAGGAATGAATCATGACTTAAATTAAGCATGTGAATTAAACAGCACTTATCATTGAAAAGCAGTAAAAAAAAAAAACATCAATTCCATTGTGTTTTCCACATCATTATTTAGTGTTCACACTTCTTTTGCAAAGGTTTAATGGCTGTGAAGTATTGCTGCAACTGTTTCTCTTGATCAACAACACTCCTAATATTTGCACAACAGTAGCTTGCATTTTCTTATGAAAGTTTTCTGGAAATTCTGTAAAAATGTGCAATACATTTGGAAGGAAACTTGACTTTTGTTGACACCAAACAGAGTGTGCTGCCGGAGTGATTCACAATGGGACATTAAAAACACAAGTCCATCATTCTCAAAGTTATGACTGTGTCACAAAAGAATCCATATGCAGCTCTTTCCAAACCTTTGCATAATAACAGACCGACTTCAAAGTACTGTGAATTTAGTTTTTATGTTCTGAATCATGGCCAGTATGATTCAGGAAGGCAGGGAAATCAACTGCATATGTGAACGCATCCTTCAACTCTTGTTTACCGACATCATGATTAATGGGTAGAGGGACATTAGGCGCTTTCACAACGGAGTACTTTTCCCTTTTAGTTCCGATAGTTCCTGGGATTTTGCGTTCACACCAAGAAGAGAACTTAGTTCATGAGAACTTTTCCCCCTTTTTCAGTCCCTGCTAGAGAGCAGGTACTTTCCTGGGGAGAAAAAAGTTCCAATTTCTGATTGGCTGGGCGGATTGCAAACCACGCCCCGTAAAACTCGGAAAAGTTTTGTGAAGCCGCCATTGTATTTGCTGGCATTAGCATTATTAGTATTAGCATTAGCCCAGCGCACCAACGGAGAGAGAATAACTTATGGCAACACAAAAAAAAACATGGGAGCGGTGGAGTGATGAGGAGGTGTCGGCGTTCTGGCGATTTAATCTTCTACTGAAGCCAGTCCCCAACTCCGGGGACTTCCGGCCGGGGCTTCTGGTGGCAGTATACGCCGTAAAGTTATTTGCGGCCTGCCAGTAAACCCAAAGCACTCCCTGAGGTTTCTCCCATTTTTCCCTTTAAACTGTGGGTTTTCTCTGGAAGTTTTTCCTTGTACGATGTGAGGGTCTAAGGACAGAGGGTGTCGTATTGTCATACTGATATTTTGTACAAACTGTAAAGTCCACTGAGACAAATGTAACATTTGTGATATTGGGCTATATAAATAAACATTGATTGATTGATTGAAGTGACGTCAGCGGCTTCATTTGCGTTATCTTCCCTCAGGGACTTATTCCGGTGTGAACGCGATCTGCTCTTTAGTTCCATGGGGGAACTAAGTGCTGGGAACTAAGTGCTGGGAACTAAGTACGGCAAAGTACTTGGTGTGAAAGCAGCTATTGCATTAATACATGCTCTCTGCAGAGAAAATGTACAAATCTACCTTCTGCAGCTTTAAGTTTGATGTCACAATTCAAACACTTGAGTATCGGCAGTCCATCTATATGGCAGCCGACCCATGCAAACGCGCTACACCGGCCCAAAACAATCCATTCGGATAAACACACTGCAGCTTCAGAAACTATGCAAGTAAAAGAACCACAAATGTGGCAAAACACATGCAAATGAAGAAACATCTTCGCCCAACCTGACAACACATGCTCAGAGTTTATTAAAAGCTCTGCATAAACGAAACGCTGCAAATAAAAAAAAGACTGCTAAAAACGAAAAAACATTAAAAAGTGACGCACACTGCTGGGACCGGAGTGCTTGTTGATGTTCAGGGATTATGAAGTTGGCCCACTGTCACTGTTGGCAGAGTTAGGCCCCATTTACACGGGAACGGAAACGAAAATGAACCGAATTCGATATAAAAAAAGTATTCCGTTCACACGCAATCGGCTCAATAAACGTGTCCGTTCACAGGAGACCGCTCGACCCGCTGGAGACGCTGCAGTACATATGCCGGGCCTGTAAGTGGTGCTGTACTTCCGCCACAAAATACACCAAAAGCAGCGATGAAGACTTCCCGAGCATGGTTTCCATGGTTGCCCTTCTGTTAATTCTCCGTGGTGGATTTAGCAGCAGATGTGGGGAGAGGCAGGGCTCTGGCTGTTTCTCTTTTTCTCCCTCCGCGAGGCAAGCGTGTCCTCCTGCTGTAAATCTCTCCGGTAGTCCACCAGCAGATGAAAAACACCCACCTCTCCGCCTCTTCCAAGGGACGAGGGAACCGTGCGGCAGAGTTTCCGTTCAAAAAAATGTTCGCCGGTCAACATGTCCGTTAAAGTTGAAATCTTCCGGACAAAATTAGAAAAGTGCCGTTGCTTTAAAACTAATTAATAACGACTCTATATAATAATATAACAATAATACACGGAGCCTCTCTTTTCCTCCCCCTCTCCCACGTGTCTCCATCAGCAGCAGCTGATCTCTGATCTCTCTCTCCTGTCCGATTAGACTTCACTCGCGTTTATGTCCATATCGATCAAATCTAGCTGGAGGCTCCTGCTGGGTGCACTGTCCTGCGAGATAACGGGACCTGGCTCGAAACACTCGGTTGTTGTTGTTGGCGAAACACATCAGCAATGACGCAGGTGACACGGTCACCTTCACAGCTGTGTGCATCACTTTTTAGTGTCCCTGTTTGTGTTGTGTTTTGAGCTAATTTCTTGCGCTTTTATTTTATTTGCAGCGTTTAGTTTATCCAAAATGTGTGTGAACACTGTGCATGTTTCTTTAAGCTGGTGAAGAACAGGTTTCTTCATTTGCATGTGTTTTGGCACATTGATTTTTTTTTCCTCTTTACATCGTTTTTGAAACTACAGTGCTTTGCTCCTAATGGAAGTAACACTACAGAATAGATGTAATGGAAAATATCCTTTACAGTTTCTGAAAACTACAATCAGTCGAACATCTCAGGCTCAAAGACAGGAAGTGAGAGCGATGCAGCATCACATTGTTAATACAGGGCCCAGACCTCAGCTGTATGGTGACAAAAATGTGCAAAAATAAATATGAGTATAGCTGCACAGGAGGTGCTAAGTCTGAGGAAACATGACTTGGTTTTCCTGAGAAGAAGGTGTAATAAATGGAGGAAAGCGTAAACGGATATTGCCATCCTTCTGGAAACCGCAGGATGAGCACACAAACGTCATTGCTTCAAGAACTCCTCTTCATAGTCATAAATCTGGCTCTTGTTCTAGCTCAAATGTTTCTACATCCGAAGAAGTCCATGCCGATGTAGCGGGGATAGCCCTCCAAAGAGTTCATGCCAACGGGATCGAACTTCCAGTACTGTCGACCTCGGACAAAGTGAGCGTAGCCTGAAAGATAAAATAAAACATTCTGTGTAAATAAATCAGTCTCAAGAATCTTTCAACGTTTTTTTGGTAAGATATTTACAATGTGTTAAATGCCTGGGGTAAAGGCTATCTTATATGTACTGGGAAAACTCAGCATAGTTACATTGGAGTTGACAATATGTTTTTTATTAGATTTTTTTGTTTTGAAAGGTTGAATTTGTGCTGTAAACTGCGTTTAGGTTAGGTACATTTTTACTTATTCTTGTGGTTCAAAGTTGGTCATTTCGGTAATCAAAACAAACATGGATGTGTTGTAACCCTAACCCTTAAGGGTTGGAGAAATTAATTTGTTCTGATTTTCAAAACTGACAGATCCCAACAAACCAACTCGTTTATAAAACAAAAAAAATAAAGATATCTGGATTATCTATTAATCCCCGGGGAACATTTTCAGATAGGAACTCGTTAACTTGGTTAGTTTAGCCTTGGACCGTACCGTAGACGTCCCTGAATGTGGCATCCACCTCGTCAGGGATGCCGCTCCAGTCCTTCATGCTGTGCGGGTAGACGGACTCCACCCTCTGCTCTCGGGGGCTGAACCTCCAGTAGCTACCTGACTTGAAGAAGTAGGTGTTGTAGTTGGAATCGTGGCCCCAACGCAGCGCCGCCTGGATCCCAGACACCGACAGACCCAAACTCCTGATGGACTCCGGCCCTCGGATCTGCATCTCGGCATCGAACACCCAGTAATTCTCACCTGCCCCGAGAGAGAGATGTTGAACAATGCTATTTATTTCTAGAGCTTTTTAGCCCTGTCTATACAACTCAAGACTATACCCCTGGAAGATGTTAAAAGACGGTGGAAACGATTTAGAGGTCTGGCGAAGAATATTAAAAAAAAGAGCAATTAGGGCTCTTGGGAATGAACTCAAAAGATCCCAAAAGGTCCTAATTCCTATCACTAGTAATCTGACTTCAAATTATGTTTATGGCCCTCACAGCTCTGTGTTAATTACCACTTAGCACCTGTTTAAACTTGCCCAAGCCTGCTTGATACTTGGTGACTGCTGCACTCACATGAAACCTTTAACCACATAACAGCACAGCTCAGACCGTCATCAATGCCCACCTTGAAAGAACCAAATATTCCCTGACTTGTCTTCAAAGGCGGCATCGATGTTGTTGGGAATCCCCCTCCAGTGACGGGACGCCAGCGCTGGGTAACCGCTTTCCAGATGCCCGTCCCTGATCCGCCACACGTAGCCCGACTTGAAGAAGAACAGCTCCCCTCGGATCATAGACACGGCATCAAAGTCCGTCTGGCAGACGTCGGGCTGGAAATGAGACACAAGTGTAAAGTTTCCTACAAGATGTTTTTTATTGCAGCAGTATGGAGTGTTAAGGAGCCGTTTTATTGTCTGAAAGGATCCCAAAATAACGTCCGGTAAAAGACTACTCGGTTACAACTTAGAAGAAACTGTTTCCAAGTGCTTATGACTAAATAATGACTTTTGACCCTTATTTATCATTTTTGGTTAAAAAATACTCCCCTGAATGATGTGGTGAAGTTTCAAAGATGCTCGCTTTTTTTTAACAGTGTTGTGACCACAGGAACCACTGTGGGATAAAGGGATAAGGCTGGTGGTCTATTCTATATTTCTCTTCTTGTCAACAAAGACCATTGAAAAAACGAATGATCCACCATATTCCCCACGGATATCCTTTTCCTCTGTGTCATAGGGCTCCATTGAATTCCAGAAACTATTAAAAACCACATCAGGGAGCCGCATGTACTGCACCAAATGGGGATTAATCCTCTGCTTGATAAAGTCCCCAACAAAAAAACGATTTACCCCTATTTGAGTAACTTTTATTCATTTTAAAGATTAATGTATTTAGTAAGAACTACTGTGATTGGTCCTAGACGTTGGTTGGTTTTATTTGAAGTCAATGCCACATTCATTAGAGCATGGCACCTAATTTGTCCTTTGGAGTTTCTTGAAGTGAGCTCAACTCGATAAAAAGAGACTTTCTGCAACCAAGCGTGACATTGTTAAAAGCTGCTCAACAAAACAAACAAGCTTACAAGACACGATCAATCAAGCTTATACTTCTGTTAGGGTTAATCACCAATGGTGCTTAATCCGCCACTGAAAAAAGTCCCCTTCAAAAGCACAACACCTTCCTGATTCACTTCCATAAAAACTAAAGTGACCAGCTGTTCAAGGAAATAACTGAGCCTTTTTTTCCTTTATTACAAATGAAACTCCATTTGCTCTAGCTGTTTTAGGTAGGAACCAATGGGATTGGAGCTGAGAGACACATACAGGAAGTCAGAAAGACATACGGACACATTGTTGGTTTTGGTCTTTTCATAGGATTTGTTGACAATAAGAACATTATTATAGTTATTTTGAGATGTTTTGAACTGGTTGTTGTAATGTTGCGCCAGCTCCACTCACATTAGCGACGATCTCGTTAGTCTCGGGGTTGGATGGAGGTGGAGGGGGGGGGTGGCGGTGAGGGCAGGACCTGTGGTTGAGCTCCATACAGGTACTGGATGCCCCGCTTGTCATCCTCGCTCAGCCTCAGAGGGTAGGAGAAGGTGTAGTATGCGGACATGATGGCCCCAGGCTCACGAGAGTGCTGCAGGCCAAGGACGTGCCCGAACTCATGGGCGGCAACCTGGAGAAGGTCTGTGCCTACAGGAGGGAGGGAGGGAGGGAGGGAGGGAGGAGGGAGGGAGGAGGAGGGAGGGAGGGGGGGGGGATGAGAGAAGAGTCAGAGGATGCAAAACCACAGATGGCTCAAATGGCGTCTGGAAATAGTTTGCTTTGACCTGCTTGCGGTGGCAGATTTAGCTATCTGAGATGATACAGTACCAACAAAGAGTCATTAAAAAGTCCCTCGCTGTTGACTAATTTCCCCTTCTTCCTCTCCATGACCTGAGAACACCTCATGTTACAGATGTGTCACATATCATTGACTGTTCATAGTTGCCCCCATGTGAACTCAGCTTGTGAGATCTTTCCATCCTAGAAAGGTTATAACTAAAATCATTGCTGGATTTAGAGATATTGTTGCTTTTTTACATTTAGTAGACTACATGGCTTTGGTGAATACTCATTTCTGAGCAATGAAGCTTGCAATGTCTTATCTTCAGGACGATAGTCTGATATTTGGCAGTAAATAATAACCAGCACGATAGAAATCTTAGCGTCTAAAGTGATTGTATGTGCTTTTTCTATTTTAAATGGTATTTTGATGTGTTGGGCAGTCATGAAAGTCATATTTTGCCCGTTTTACATTTCTTGAATTACATTTACATATTACATTTCAGTGTTTCTAATTATACATATTTTTATATAATACTTCTAAAATAGTAATATAACCTCTGTATTCACTTTTAAAAACCCATGCTCTGCAACTACTACTTTCTCAACAATACATGGTTAGTTCATATTTAATCACATTGTTTATCTGTTATTATTTGCATCTTTATAGTGTCGTTGACATATTAAAGGAAAAACCTGAATTAAAGTGTTGAGAAACCTCTTCTTCCCTCATGATGGTTGTGACGAAGGTAACTTTGTCACTGATGGCTTCGGGCCTTGCATATGTGCACATGTTTATACAGTTTATATTATTTATTGATGTAGTGTTTATTGTATTTTATTTTGAAATGTGTTCCCCTTTCCCCATGTCTGTTGCCATTGATTGTGTGCACCTGGTGCTCTGTGGTGTCTCCTCCCCCCTCACCTGTGTCCTGTTGGGTTGATTGGGTTGGGCATTTAGGCTCTGGGGTTTAGCTGTTTGGGAGAGAGTGTGTGTGAGATCCTTGTGGCTGCAGGCTGTGGTCAGGGAGAAACAGCAGGATTGAGGCTGTGTGTCATGTGTTCCTGACTTAATAAATGCCCACACCGGGTTGTATTTTGGACGTTCTGCCTCTGCCTCCTTGCTTGGTCTGGCTGCTCAATTGTCAGCTTCACAATGGTATTTGCTAGGTACCAGTTTTTTCTTTACTCATTTTCTGATACCTCTTTTCTAAACTTTCAAATTCCTTGTATGGGTACACCTACTGTAATTGACCAAAAAAGTCGACACAGTAAACACATAGTATCATGAATTGTATTAATGATTTATATTCTACTTGAAGCAATGAAAAAAAGTCAAAAATATATTTTTTCTAAATTCTGTCAGGTAAACCCTCACCCATGTGGTTTCCAAGGGTCCAGGACTCGTCATAGTCGAAGTGAATGTCACCTTGTCGGTGGGTTTTGGGGAAAAATGCGTGAGCGAGAATCCCACCCGGGCCATCGAAGGGAAGGTTGTCTCCATGCCAGTACCTGCAATCCCATACATGAAACGTTCTGATGAGCACAAGAGCCACTCTGAAGGTTTACAGCATGATGAACTTTTTAAGTGAAACTTTATGGATGAAAGAACAAGTTGATGAGATTGCTGTCAGAAAACCCATTAATATTAAGTTAATAATAACAAAGGAAAAACACATTTCCTTATCTGAAATTATAGTTAAATAACTAAACAGGCATGTTAAAAAAGAAATCTAAGGCTTTATGGTTTGACTTCCAATCATTTGGTGAAATAAAGAAGAAGTCTTATCGTATTTTGTCATAAATTGAAGAGGTCCTTTGATGTTTTTTGGGGGAGGTTTCCCTTTCCTATAGTGTGTTTTAGTGCATGTAAATGGTCTGCAATGGCTAAAATCCCAAAGTTCCCTCCAGAGGGAGTTTCCAACTTATACAAATACACTTATAGGCGCTTTCACACCGCAGTACTTTTCCCACAAAGGTTCATCAGAACTCTTTAGTTCTCATGGACTAAGTACAGATCGCGTTCACACTGGAATAAGTCCCTGGGGGTGGATTAGGCAAATGAAGCCGCTGACGTCACTTCTTCTTCTTCTGCTTTGGGTTTACTGGCAGGCCGCAAAAAACTTCACGGCGTATACTGCCACCCGAAGTCCCCGGCCGGAAGTCCCCGGAGTTGGGGACTGGCTTCTACTGAAGCCTTCCGAGTAAATCGCCAGAACGCCGACACCTCCTCATCTCCACCGCTCCCATGTTTTCTTTTGTGTTGCCATAAGTTAGTCTCTCTGCGTTTGTGCGCTGGGCTAATGCTAATGATGCTAATGCGAGGATAATAAAATGGCAGCTTCACAAAACTTATTTGGGAGTTTTACGGGGCGTGGTTTGCAATCCGCCCAGCCAATCAGAAATAGGATCCTTTTTCTCCCATGAAAGTCCCTGCTCTCTAGCAGGGACGGAAAAGGGGGTAAATAAGTTCTCATGAACTAATTTTTGTTCCGGCTCTTTTTGGTGTGAACGCAACATTTCGGAACTATATCGGAACTAAATTGGGAAAAGTACTGCGGTGTGAAAGCGCCTTATGTCAGGTTTATTTCAATATCTTACATTGCCACGTACAATGTGTAGGAGTGTGAATAGAAGTGCGAGTGTTACATAGTGATGTCACTATGTTACATAAGTCAATAAAGGAGTCCAATGGAGGTGTTTGAGGCTGGGTGGGGAGTGTGTGAGGGAACTTTGGGATTTTAGCCTTTGTAGACCATTTACATGCACACAGAGGGAAAACCCTAAAAGCATATGGTTAACTGTAACTATAAAGGATTAATTGTGAAAATGTCATACCGTTGCTACCCTAAATTGCAAAACTTTTGATAATTATCAGTAGACACAAATTACAGCAGAGGCCGATGGGAATGTGATAAGGACAGCAGATACTTGATCTTGATAGTCAAAGGATCACACAAATGTATACAGGTATTCCTGAGGGGAATATGAGAGCATGATTCAAATTGCATGCTAATGCACCAAATCGAGATATTTCCATCTTGAACAAAGTTGCAAAAATAATGTATTTTGTATTTTATTTCATAGCACATTCATTAATTTTGCAATCATATCTGTCTGTTTTACTTAAACATATAGAATGCGTTACTTTTCCTTTATAATTACTTCTAAAAGATGCTTCCCCCCCCCAGGGTCGGCTCTAGAACAAATCAAATGGGGGGGCAATCATTTACCAAGGGGGGGCACATACTGCCGTCAACAACCAACACACAAACACCAACGCAACTTCAATTTAAAAAAAACATGCTGTAAAGTCTATTGTCTTTCACACACATTGCAGGGTGTGAAAGCGCACCTATGACCTGTGCATACATGCACGGTTGTGGCACGACCACCAAAACAGAAACATATGGACATAGGCCACCATATGAAAAGTGTTTAGTATTTAGTATCCTATCCATGTGAACATGTTTTAGGTGGGGGTGGACCTAACCTCCTCTAGGAGGGTCCGGGGGCATGCTCCCCCGGGAAGATTATTTTTAAAATATTGAAGTTAAATGCATCAATCTGGTGCACTTTGAGAGCAACATGAAGATCTATGGATACATCTCTCAGCATCCATATGAAACAGAACTGTACACAGATTTACTTTTTCTTTATGGATATTTTACTAATCACTCCCCTTTCAACTGTATTCTTGTGTTACTGTCCTATAGTATTTCATACCCGTTTTTCATTTATTCTCTTATTCTTTAATGACTATAATGATCATATAAAGGTAGCCTATTCCTCGCAAATACTTGTTTACATAAATGGTGACCAAACCGTTTGAGACCCACTGAGATAACTTACACTAAAGTGAACTATCTAAACACTGAGAGTCCTTACCTCACTGAGCTGACGTTATAAGATCCTCACAGTCTGACAGGAGAGGACTCTCCTCCACCTTGGTGTAGAAACAGCTCTTTATATCCGTTAGCATAGCTAGCTAACCAGATGCTAACAACAATATTCCACGTTACCGCTCGCGCACTGACAAAATGCGCTCGTGCCACACACAGAGAGCCGAGCTTGAATGAAACACAGAGACCCATGTACTTGTACTGTACTGTATATCATATTATTTTCGATGGCTTTACTGCATAATCAGTATAACAGATGAACAGATCGCCACTGGGCTTTCATCTAAACACACAGCCACGTAATGATAACAAAACAAAAGTCGGGGTCATTGGTCAAGCAACACACCAATCAGAGAGCAGCAGTGAGCACACCTCAGGCTGTGTTTCATATAAAGAATAAATAAAGAATACAAATGTGTATTCTTTATTTCTGATGTATTTCACACAAAAAACTTTTGGTGGAAACGTTTTAACTTATATGATTAAAAAAAAAAACGGCAAAGTGGCAATAAGGCTTGCCCACCCTGCGTTGGGGGGGCACAGTGACTCATTTGGGGGGGCATGGCCCGCGAATGACCCCCCATGACGCCGACCCTGCCCCCCCCCCCACATCCCGGTCTCCCACCTTGTGAAGTCGATCCGGATGTCGGCCTTCCCACTGTGGATCTCGGTGAAGGTGAGCGGGGTGACGTCACTCCAGATTTTCAGCGCTTCCCGAAAGACACGTCGAACCTTCTCCTCGTCTATCTGCCAGGGAAACCGAACTATCCTGCGGGAGATAAGTGCAGGTGTCACACACACACACTGACGCATGATATACAGTAGGGAAGCAGAGAGGGACCACCAGCCTTGCATGCCTCCCTCTAATCTGATATCTGTCTCATCAGCGGGGAGGTGTTCTGTTACTGACACCCCCAGGCTCCCTTTCCTTTTAAATAAAACCACCCATGTGATAAATAGGAAAAATAACATAAACCTCCTTATTTAACAAACAGGACTCTAAATATGTATTAATCATATAGAATTGATGTAGACCAATCGTTGTAGTAGTTTCACGCTTTGTAAAACATTCTGATATGCGTGTGAGGAATGGACAAACACTCTACGGGTGAAGTACGGAGCTGTCAGGACGTGCCTGTGTTGCGCTTCCAGCTATAGCACGGTTGCAAATTGCCACTTGCAAGCACACATTGAGATTTTGGCACAATGATGCTAAAACTGAAGAGCTGACTCTTCAAAAAGACAGAGATTAAACAAAACAAGATACAACATGTTGATTAAACAGAGTTTGAGGTGTTGTTAGGCAGATTTTTTAGCTTTGCAAAGGGCCAGGCTAGCTGATTACCATTTCCACTCACTATGCTAAGCTAGGCTAACGTGTCATGACTCCAGATGTGTACTCAGCCACGGCGTTAATACAGTTTTCTCACTCAAATAAATAGCAAAAAATAGCTGTATTAACCAACAATCCAATCTGTTACTTTAACTTATAGCTGTTAATTCTGGATATGATTGTTTCTTGTTGATTAAAGGTTTCCAGATAACCTCATTATTAGCTAGTCCCTTCCGGGATCTTTGGTGTAAAAATATAAAGTTAACATTTGCTGCATCATTTTATGGCACAACTTCAGAACATGTTACCTGTAAGATCTTTTTCTGGCTGGCAGGCAGTTCTTGTCTTTCATCATGCATGAAGGGTCAAAAGGGACAGGAAGCAGCAGGGTTTATGGGAAATGTGGTCTTAATTTAGAGAAATCTCTAGCAATAAAAATACAACTGCTGTTCATGTCATTCCCTGTCTCAGTTATCCATAATGCATATACTTTAAGGTGACAGGAAGAGTTACACTTCCTGAACATTTTTCATTTAAACCGCATATTTAAATTTGATACTAAAAGTAATAATTACACGACAAGAAAAAACGTTTGACCATAATCTAAAGTGTGCAGCAAGACTCATGCAAAGGTGCTTACATTTGTTCAGACTGACTTCAGAGGAAGAGGAAGTAGTGCACAGTTGGGGACTATTTTCAGTGGGGGAGCTACACATTTGAGGATCATGTATTTCTTACTTGTTACATAATGACATCACTATGTAACACTTGCGTTCTATTGGCTATCACTCCAACACATAGTGCGTGGAGCGGGACATTTCCCACACATCTATTAGTGGTTGACCAATTATAACAGAGCTGGCTAGCTAACCAATCAGAGCAGACTGGGCTCTGGTTTCAGACAGAGGGTGCATAATGCACAGGCAGTATGAGAAAATGTTTTTTTTAACATTAAAGCATGTACAAATGTCATAGTAGTGGCACAAAATACAAATATGAACCTGAAAATGAGCAGAATAGGGCCCTTTCAAAAAACAAAACAGAATCGCATTAGTTTGCGGCCGGTGCTGCCTCCCCCACCCTCTCTCTCGCTCTGTGTTAATATACTGTTGCGTTAAAGAATGGCTACAATGAAAGAGACCCCAGGAGACACAGACAGAGAGGCAGCCGCCAGCAGAGCACTGCCAGACGCGCGGTGGTGCCAAGTCCTTAGATGAAAGCAAAGCATCACCCCTTTGTCCGAATTATAATTTTAAGACTTCCTTTTCTATATTACTATATATAGAACTATATAAGCCCTCCCGTGTTGCATGTTTTTTCCTTGAGTCTATCATTAAGTTGGTCTGAAAACTGCCTGAAATGGAGTCATCGTTTTGCCTAATGAAGTGATTCTTTAAACCAGCAATATCTTCTTTTTTTTTTGCGATACTGGGGCAGCAGTAACAATTTCTTATTGACCATTTACATTAGATATGGTTAAGTTGCAAGAACAAAGCTTCTAATTGCACACCCGGTAGTTTAAGACGACATATTCTGCAAATGTTCATGCTTTAATGTTCAAAAAGCTCTTTATTTCTGCAGCACCTCTTTTCCCCCTCTGTCTGAAACCAGAGCCCAGTCTGCTCTGATTGGTTTGCTGGCCGGCTCTGTTGTTATTGGTCAACCACTTAGAGATGTCGGGTCCCTTAGCCTATCAAGTACAATGTGTTAGAGCGCTAGCCTATAGAAGCGCAATTGTTACATAGTGAGTAAATTATGTCACGGAAGAAAACAGGCGTTTCAGGCAGTGTGTGGAAGAGAAAAAAAAACGATATAACACACAGCAGATACACACATTATTATTGACCTTATTCAACTATCAGATTTGGCCTCGCCAGAGTTAGAAATCCTGGTTAAACTACCTATTTTACAAAGAAATCACAAAAATAATTGGGGCACATAATAACACAAAATATTCATATCGGATGGCTAGGGTCCTTCCCTTAGAGTGCAAGCCTCTGTTTCACGGAAAGAGAGCAACAAACGTCCCTCTTCTCTTGCAAACATAAAAAAGAAAAATCAATGACCATTCCTGAATGTGTTTTCATTCCATCTCACCATGATATCTATTGACCCACCACAGCCAACCCACAATGAAATGTTGTGCTTTCTACAATTAGGGTATTCTGCATCGGCGCCTGGTATGTACCTGTAGGTGAGGTCTGTCTTCTCTAAACGTCCTCCGTACAGGACGAAGCGTCTCTGTCGCCCCCGATAATGCACCTCCTTATGGGCGGGGTAGTCCGGTACTCCACAGCGTGGTCGGTTCCATGTGTTTGAGGTGTTGGTCTGCAAACTTGTCTCCTTTACAAAGTCCTGAGTGTGAGAAAGCTTCCCCCTCTTCTTCAGGTCGGGGAACTTTTCAGACAACTGTAAGAACAATGGTGGTCAACAGATAGTTGTTTTTAACAAATAAATTAAACACGTAAATACTTTGAAAAAGATGTCACTGTGTGTCATCTATTTGTCTTTTGTGCGTGTAGTGGCCAATTTTGCAAAATACAAAGTTCCAAGGCCACTAAGCCTACAAGGCGAACTCGAGTGTTCACTGGCGTTTAAAACATCCAAATACCTTCAATGAAAACCATAGTCCCAGGTATGCGTCCTGAGGGTTTTATTCACTTACTATTCCATAGATCTGTTGGCGGTCCACTACCGACTTACTCTACAACACTTTTAACTGCATATAAATAAATAAACAAAGTACAAATACCATCAGGCATGTGGACACGTACGGGCAAAAACGTTTTCAACTACCTGGTAGACTTCCAATTCTGGTAGTGGTAATGCGTCATTTTATACTCATAGACTTGCGCACTAGAGTCTGCTTTTCCGTAAACAATAACAAACATAAACCTTGAGCAGTCCATAAACAAACAAAACGGTTTGTTTATAACTCTATGATTATCCAATTCATTTAACCTCACCAAACATAAATATTTACCATAAATATCAATACGCCTGACTGGCTCTTACAGTGCGGTATTCCTGTACGTTGGCCGACAAAAACGCGCTACAACGACCCAGAACATTTCAACTACGAGAAATTCGCTGCACTTTCCAAACGATGCAAATAAATAAACATAATTTTGCCAAAACACATACAAATGAAGAAACTTCTTCACCAACTTCACAAAACATGCGCATTTTACAAAAAACACTGCATAAACAAAAAGGTGCAAATAAAAAAAACTCTGCAAGAAGCTCAATACACACCAGAAAAGGGGACCAATTAGCAACAAACAAAACTTGGCTGCTTATGGTCAACTAAGCTCACTTTTATCAAAAGAGGTACCAATGAGCCTCATGACTGTCGGTTTCCACATGAAGCAGTTTATATTCTGAGAATGGCACTTCAGTTACAGGTGTCACAAGCAGCAACTAGCCTTCTCAATTTTGGACTATTACTTCCATCAAAATGCACCACGGTTAAACTTGAAATGAATTGAATTAACCTTAAAAATGTCACGGTATTTAAATGCTAAAAATGTTAAAGATAAAAGGTTTAAGTAGAAGAAAAAAAAAGATGAGGGGGAAATTACAAAGAGAAATCGTTATGAAGTAAATAAAAAAAAAAGGGAGAAAAAGAAAGTATACGAGGAAGTGAAGGCGAATCAGCTTCATTTTGGACTCTGGAGGAACACACTCAAAATCGTATTCCCCGATTTAAGAGATTACTATCAGTTACACCCCCCACCACTCCCCCAATCCAGAGGAAATGGCTCTGCTCATTTCCACTGGTGCAAATTACAGAGGAGCGCCTCCTCTGTACCTCATCTGCAGTGCTACACCACTGCTGGCATTTCCTTTCCTCTCCACTCAGAACAACCTGTTGGGAAGACGCTGTCCATTTCTTTTGTAGAAATTAAATCATCAGATTCAGTGGAGTTCTTTATTTCATAATCCTGTGGGGATTTTAGCTGATATTGATATTTTTCTGAAAAAATTGCAGTACCAAAGATGTCCATGATAATAGATTAATTAATTTGATTAATTAGTGGAAAGGTAATATGTACATTTACTATTAAAGTAGGCCTACTAATTCAACATACTTCAATTTTAATAGATTGATTTCCATTTTGTTCTACTTTTATTCCATCCATCCATCCATCTTCTCCCGCTTATCCGTGGTCGGGTCGCGGGGGTAGCAGTTCCAGCAGAGAGCCCCAAACTTTCTTTTCCCTGGCGACATCAACCAGCTCTGACTGGGGGATCCCAAGGCGCTCCCAGGCCAGCAAAGAGATATAATCCCTCCACCTGGTCCTAGGTCTACCCCTTGGTCTCTTCCCAGCTGGACGTGCCTGGAACACCTCCCTAGGGAGGCGCCCAGGTGGCATCCTAACTAGGTGCCCGAACCACCTCAACTGGCTCCTTTCGACGTGAAGGAGGAACGGCTCAACTCCGAGTCCCTCCCTGATGACCGAACTTCTCACCTTATCCCTAAGGGAGACACCAGCCACCCTGCGGAGAAAACCCATCTCGGCCGCTTGTATCCGCGATCTCGTTCTTTCGGTCATGACCCATCCTTCATGACCATAGGTGAGGGTAGGAACGAAAATGGCCCGGTAGACAGAGAGCTTTGCCTTCTGGCTCAGCTCCCTTTTCGTCACAACGGTGCGGTAAAGCGACTGCAGTACCGCTCCCGCTGCTCCGATTCTCCGGCCCATCTCACGCTCCATTGTTCCCTCACTCGAGAACAAGACCCCGAGATACTTGAACTCCTTCACTTGGGGTAAGGACTCATTCCCTACTTGGAGTGGACAGTCCATCGGTTTCCTGCTGAGAACCATGGCCTCAGATTTGGAGGTGCTGATCCTCATCCCAGCCGCTTCACACTCGGTTGCGAACCGATCCAGTGAGTGCTGAAGGTCGCAGACCGATGAAGCCATTAGAACCACATCATCTGAAAAAAGCAGTGGGGCAATCCTTAGTCCACCAAACTGCAGACCCCCTCCCCCATGACTACGCCTCGAAATCCGATCCATGTATATTACAAACAGGATTGGTGACAAAGCGCAGCCCTGGCGGAGGCCAACCCTCACCGGAAATGGGTCCGACTTACTGCCGAGGACCCGGACACAGCTCTCGCTTTGGGAGTACAGAGATTGGATGGCCCTGAGTAGAGACCCCCTCACCCCATACTCCCGCAGCACCTCCCACAGTAACTCCCTGGGAACTCGGTCATACGCCTTCTCCAAGTCTACAAAACACATGTAGACCGGATAAGCGTACTCCCAGGCCCCCTCCAGGATCCTTGCGAGAGTAAAAAGCTGATCCGTTGTTCCACGACCAGGACGGAATCCGCATTGTTCCTCCTCAATCTGAGGTTCGACAATCGGCCTGACCCTCCTTTCGAGTACCTTAGAGTAAACTTTCCCGGGGAGGCTGAGTAGTGTGATGCCTCTGTAATTGGCACACACCCTCTGATCCCCCTTTTTAAAAAGGGGAACCACCACCCCGGTCTGCCACTCCTTCGGTACTGTTTCCGACTTCCACGCAACGTTGATGAGACGTGTCAACCATGACAGTCCCTCAACACCCAGAGCCTTCAGCATTTCCGGGCGGATCTCATCCACCCCCGGGGCTTTGCCACTGTGGAGTTGTTTGACGACCTCAGTGACCTCCCCCCGGGAGATTGGTGTTGATCCCCCGTCATACTCCAGCTCTGCCTCTAACATAGAGGGCGGAGTTGTCGGGTTCAGGAGTTCCTCAAAGTGTTCCTTCCAACGCCCTAACACTCCATCAGTTGAGGTCAACAACGTCCCATCCTTACTGTACACAGCTTGGATGGTTCCCTGCTTCCCCCTCCTGAGGTGTCGGACAGTTTTCCAGAACAACTTTGGTGCCGCCCAAAAGTCCTTCTCCATGTCTTCTCCGAACTTCTCCCACACCCGCTGCTTTGCCTCGGCCACGGATGAGGCTGCTGCCCTTCGGGCCTGTCGGTACCTTGCAACTGCCTCGGGAGTCCCCCGGGATAACAAATCCCTGAAGGCCTCCTTCTTCAGTCGGACGGCTTCCCTGACCACCGGTGTCCACCAGGAGGTTCGAGGGTTACCGCCCCTTGAGGCACCTAGGACCTTGAGACCACAGCTCCCCGCCGCGGCTTCGGCAATAGAGGCTTTGAACACCGACCACTCTGGTTCAATGTCCCCAACCTCCACAGGAACTTTTATTATTATTATTTATTTATACTTCTTTTGATTTTTTTACTACTCAACTATGGAAATGAATTTATAACTTTGTTTGAAAAGTACCAGGTAAATATAGCTTATTTTCAATATTTAAATGACTATTATTATGAATTCTCCCCCTTTGGATTAGCTGGTGAAATAATCTAAATAGTTGTACAAAGGGTACACAAATGATTGTATTTCAGGACAAACTTTCCCACAACCAAACCCAGACATGTCTTGACTTATAGTTTGAATAATTACATCATTTTTCTTTTTCCTAAAGTTGACTAAAGACACAGGATAAATTGCCCAAATCTACAGTGGCTGACCTGTGCAAACATTGGCCCCTGTCAGCCACCGTACAACCATCAAATAAAAGAGTTTTCTAAAAAGTAATGTGACCTCATTTATGTGTGAACAAAAATATGTACGCGGATGACATTTAATAATAGACCTTTCAACTCTTCAGACTTAAAACCAAATATTTGACATGAACCCTACAAAAACGCAAACCCAATTCACAAGAGCAAAATATTAAAATAATAATTGTCATTGTCATTATGTTTTTCAGTTGTGTTTGAACGAGGCTGCCTCACTCAGCTCTGCATGACTCAAACTGTGTCGTTGTTGTAGGTGAAGGGGAACAAAACCCAGCAGGATTCATGGAATGTGCTCCAGACTGCAGAAACACACAGTGACTGATGGGTCTGGATCACAGAACCCCCCCACCCACACACCCACCCCCTGTGTTTAACTTTGTTTAAACGACATGTAAGCTGCTTGTTTTGTTGCACAAAGCACTTACCCGCATCAGGGGGGATGTTTCTGCTAATTCCCTACGGTTTTCTTAAATGGCTTGTTAGTGTTGTAATGAATGGGCCTCAGAAAAATGGCTGCTTGTTTGCATGGCAGCTTATTTCTTCTGAAATCTGATCTAAGGGGCCTGTTATATGTCGTTCTGATAACAAAATCCTCAGATAAACAACAAAGCCCTTAAAACAGATCTGACATGTATCAATCTAAAGTCTGTAGACATGAAACTGCTTGTCTGAGTACACAAGTACAACATTTTATACCCTGGGGGTATAGGCTCTATATACTGTAGGTGAGCCTATACAGGCCTGCTGGTTCTATTGAGGTCACTGAGTTCATGCCCCCAGTGTTGTTCATCCAAATCTGGATTTTACTGATCAGAAG